ATGAATATGACTATGAGTATTCTCCCACTGGTTTCATGGCTGTGCGTTTTGATTCCAACGTTGATTTGACAGTCCATCCTGATGAAAGGAGGACCATGAGCAAGAAACACAGAAAGATGGTGTTGGAAGGTATCAACAATCTCAACAACCGTGATCGTGTGATGCAGTCCAGTCGTGGGATGCAGCCTCAAGTTTCCAATGGTACTTCAGGGGTTGCAGTCATCACGTCGCATCCGACCCTTTTCCAGGATTTTTTCGAGCACACCTATGACGTCGGCGTGAATGCCGCGTATTTGGACGGTGATGCTGAGCCACGTGGTTGGAGTGACATGTTCGAGGGTTGCACATTGATCATTGTTGCAATTGAGTACAAGTCAGAACATTATGCACTGTGTCATGGGGATCTTGTATTTGAGTTGGAACAGTATTGTGATGCCACAGGGTGTAGGTTTCTCATTGTTGATGTTGCGCACACTGAACGATGGGAATCATTCAAAACACCACAGATTCCATATATCAACGAAGTTGGTCTTGCTTTTGTGTCAAATGATGATGAACTCATTCAAGGTTTTCAAGACTGGTCTATGTATCGACATTTGGATGACGTTTTGAATTGGGAGTTTTGTCAATGGATTCGTGATTGGTCACTTGAGCGTGAACTGGAGGATCAGATGAGCGTTGCTTTTCCAGCAGAGATCATCGAAGAGGCTCAGGAACATGGTGGGAACTGGGATGCAGTTGATGGCCCAGAAGATGTTGCATTGCAGGATCCGGTTGAGGACCTGACACATGAAGAGACTCTTTTGGATGAAGTTGATATCCCTGGTTTGCCAGAGGATGAAACAGAAAGACGTAAGTCTTGGCGTAAACTTCCTCAGCGTGTCAGGATTGCTGTGCGTAGGTTGCACAGGGCTTTTGGACACGTCCCCAAGTCGGTGATGGTCAATTTGGTGCGTGCTGCAAAGGTGAGCAAGGAGTTTGTTGATGCAGTGAAGTTGCATAGATGTGAAACATGTAAGAAAACATCAGCAAAGAAACCCACTCACAAAGTCACGCTTCCAAGTGATTATACATTCAACCATACTTTGGGGATTGATGTACTGGAGTTGACAGATGTAACTGGGCAGAAGTATCAAGTTCTCAACATGGTTTGCATTGGTACTTGTTTTCAACAGGCCGAGGTCGTGAAGGTTGGAGCAGGTCAAGCTTCTTCGCGATCCTGTTTGGACGCACTTATCAAACGTCGGTTCAGTTGGGCAGGACATCCTGTTGCTATCATGTGTGATCGTGGCTTGCACAATCGTGGTGTCTTGCAACAATACATGGATGAACACAACATTCAAGTGCACCATTTGCCCCTTGAGAGCCCGGAATCATTGGGCCGAGTAGAGAGGCATGGTGGTTTATTGAAAGCTCTTTTCAGGCGGGTGTGTACAGAAGTTGGGGCTTGTACCAAAGAACAGGTTGAGTCGTGCATCACACAGGTGCTCAGTGTGAAGAACGACTCTGCACGTGTTGGAGGTTTTTCTCCATCTCAGTGGGTGCTTGGTCGAGCTCCCCGTGGTGTAGCTTCACTCATGTCTGAGGAAGACCATGCACAGCTCGGAGCCATTCAGGCCCGACATGATCCTTCATCAATTTTTGCATTACAACATTTGGCCAGGATTGAGGCACAAAAGGCTTTTGTTCATCTTGATTGTTCAAGAAGAGTTCAACGAGCGTTGACACGCAATGCCAGTGTGTTTGATCGTGAATTCAACATTGGTGACCTCGTCACTTTCAGACGAGACAATCAACGAGGAGGAACTTCTTGGTCACCAACATGTCGTGTGATCGGACACGAGAACCAGAAGAACATATGGTTACTATGTGGTAACGTTCCGGTACTTGTAGCTTCTCACAACATACGCATTGCTTCTCCTTCTGAGGCTCTTGCTCAATCAGTGTTGAATGGTGAACCTGTGATTCCATACAAGATCATCAATGATACAGGTCAACAAGCGTTTCTTGATGCAAGGCAAGCAGATGAGGTTGAAGTTGTTCGTGAAGGTCCCGGACAAGCAGACGATGTTGAAGTTGTCCCTGAAGGCAATGTGGATTCAGCACTCCCTCCTATACCAGAAGTACCTGAAGATGAATGGGATATACGACCTGGTTTCTTTGAAGAAGGTGGAGAGGAGGAAGACACTGGTCCTATGGAAGAAGACATCTTTTCGCAAAGTAGAACTCCAGAAAGAAGAATTGAAAGACCACGCCCAGGAGATGAAGATCATGAACGCAACGTGAGACCTCGAGTAGAGTCTCAGCTACAACCTGAGTCGGAGAGAGGCTCATCACTTGTGCCATCTCGAAGAGACTCCTTTGTGCCTGATCTTACTCCAAGTGGCTCCATTTCGGGGGCGCCACCTTTTAGTGGTTCTGTTTCAGGTGCATTAGCTTCATCGTCGGCGTCATCTTGGCCATTGCGAAGGGAACTTTTGGATGACTTACCACATCAATTGCGAACACATCTTGAAAGAGCTCGTGAGAGAGACTCAGAACGAAGTCCTGAAGAACAACAAGAAGCACGAGCATTGTTTGCATCATTTTTGTCCCAGGAAGTTGGAGTTCCTGAGGACGAAGAGGTAGGTAAGAAAGTGTTGAAATCAATCCACTATGAATCAGCGCCACCTGATGTACAGAAGAACATCATGGATGCCAGAACCGGAGTGGAACAAGTTCCTTGAGTTCGCTGCTGTTGTAGAAATTTCAAAAGAAGATGCTGAGAGGTTGATCGCTGAAGGACATCAATGTATTCCTAGCAAGTGGGTTGATGTTGATAAGAACCAATTTTTGAAGGGAAGAACAGACCAAGAATATGTACCAAAGTTCAAAAGCCGGTTGGTGTCATGCGGCAATTTCGAAGTCAGTGAAGGTCTGAGATCAGACAGTCCTACAGCAGACACAGAAGCTCACAACATTCTTTGCTGTTGTGCGGCGATCCAGGGCGCACAATTGCACAGTGCGGACGTCGCATCCGCATATTTCCAAGGCCGTCCTCTCGACAGAGTTCTCATTATGAGACAACCCCGAGGAGGTCTCCCGGGAGTTGATCCAGAGGTGTTTTTCCTTGTGAGAGTGCCTGTGTACGGATTAACTGACAGCGGTCGAGGTTTTTGGTTGAGGCTGGACGGAGATGCCCGATCCAGTGGCTTGAAACAATCCAAGTTTTACCCAGGATTGTATTTTCTTCCAGGAACCGACAAAGATTGCGTTGCACTTATGGCGACTCATGTAGATGACATCTTGTACGCATACATTCCCGAGGGAAAGTCAGTGATCGACAGCTTCTTGGAGAAGTTCAACTTGGGATCTAATCTAGTGAATCAAATTCGTTTCGCTATTGTGGCAAGCAATTTGAGCGTACTGCAGATGGAACAATCACCCAAGACACTTGTGACAACACCCGTCGCATCAAGCCGATCAAGATCGCGCCAGGAAGATCAACGTCCGAGCCGTTGGGTAAGGATGATGTGACCCGATTACGATCTGTAACGGGATCCTTGGCATGGGTGGCAAGGCAGACTAGACCCGATTTGGGTTATCGTGTGAGCCGCCTACAGTCCAGTATTTCTGGAGCGACAGTTGCTATTTTGCACGACGCAAATGCCGTAGTACAGCTGGCACAACAAGGTATTGAGAACAAACTTATTTTTCCAGGTGGACATCTAACCTGGGGAGAGGTTGGTATCATTACAGTGACAGATGCTTCATTTTCAAACGAGAAGAACTACAAATCACAACAAGGACGTTTCCATTTTCTTGGAGACATCAATGAGATCAAAGACCCCAAGACTACATCCTACAGAGTGATGCCATTGGGATTTGCATCAAATACAATTCGGCGAGTATGCCGCAGCACTCTTCAATGCGAAGCTTATTCACTGCAGGCTGGACAAGAGAGCGGTGACAAGCTACGTGGAGCATTGGCCGAACTGATGGGCCAACTTGACTCGATGAAAACATGGTTGGATGACAGCCGCAGCTGCATTCCACAACTGATGCTTTCAGACTGCAGGTCTTTAACAGACCATCTTGCGAGTGAGGTACTCGGCAGGGTCGCAGACAAACGACTCGGCATTGAGTTGCAGTCAATTCATGAGTCACTTTGGCAAGACGGCCGGAGGAGCTGGGACATACATCATGGCGGAGGAGACATTGTTACCTGGATTGCTACAGGGACTATGGTCTCGGATGCTCTGACCAAGAGCATGCGCCCGGACCTCATCATCCGCGTTTTGAAGGAGTGCATTTACCGTGTACAGAAGAAGCCTTAGAGCCAACTTTCTTCACTAGCATCATGTGATCCTTGAAGAACAGGTTGAGTGTGAGTTTGACCTGTCTAATGTATATTTTGTATAGCCAAGTGATCACATGCCCCCGTTGACGTTTGGCTTTAGGGCCCTTGAGTCATACCGCGCTGCCGTGGTAAAAGTTGGGCACTAACGATCCCGTTTCCAATTCATACTAATATCAACATTTTGTTCTGAAGGTACAGTATGGGAATTTAGTTTCTTCATGAAGAATAAAGAATTGAAATAAGGGTTCCCTTCTTTTCCCTGGCTGCTTGGTTGGTCAATATGGCTGAACGTTTTCTTGGCTGAGGCCACACCTATGATACTTGTACTACTTCTATATCCTCGTTTACCTAAGTCTTATGGATACTTCGAGCTTCACTTGGTATATGTCTTAGGTATAGCACCCCATGGATGCTGGGACGTCAAAGGAACAAAAAACAAATTATAGGATACTCACAGAATGGGTTGAAGGGACATGAAGGGACACGTTGCACAAAACCACAATTTTAAGTGAACACGATGGGTTCTTGCCTTTTTGTCTCTTAACCAATCTAGCGAGATACTAACAACCTTTATGCGACAAAAGCTGAAGTGACTCTAATATTCTGAGATATTCTAAACATCAGCTAAAGACATGATAAGACATGATAAGCGCTTCCTGAGGATGACTATCCAGTTGACGAGGTGTACGAGGTTCGCCAGGGTCATTCGGCCAGCCCCTGCAAGCAGCGGCAAATAGCCCGCTCTGACATGGCTGGTGGCCAAAACGTAAAACCGTCGGAGTTCCCTATTCTTGGCCGCTTTGTAAAGCGTAAAACCATGGAATTGTTGGGGTACCCAAGACTTTGACCCACAACCATACCTATCAAAGGGTATGATCAAAGGCAGTTTAGGAGAGGAACTTCCGTGGTACGGACATTCAAGAGCGGACAAGAACTGAGAAGAGACACAAGGAGCTGAGAAGAGCTGAGAAGAGCTAAGTAAGAAGAGCTGAGCAGAGCTGAGAAGAGCAAAGAATAGCCAAGCAGAGCTGAGAAGAGCTGAGAAGAGCTGAGGAGAGCTGAGCAGAACTGAGGAGAGCTGAGGAGAGCTGAGAAGGAGGAGCTGAGAAGGGCTGAGAAGCGCCGAAAAGAGCTGTTCACAACTTCAATTTGTCTCCTGTGAAAGCTTCGTTTATTAATGCCAGCGTGTAGTTTTGAAGGAAGTCTCGCACGAAAGCTGCGATGTCACAATGCCAACTTGCAGTTTTTGAAAGACATTTTGCACGAAATGTTTCTTTGAGAGATAGCAGTCGCCTATGTGTCTTCAATACTCGAAACTTCCGCCATCGGCTTTCTTTTGTATCAACAGGCAAACATACGTATAATTAGAAGTGATTGGAGTTGCCGGTTGTGGTGGCCATCCCATTTCATCACCGTTTGTTGTTGAAAGTTTCAATTGTATAAAAGTAAGCATATGATTCAAGGACCTTCAACTTCCAGCCATACAGTATGCGTTTGAAACTTTGAAAGACGGGCTTGATGGGGCTTCATTCATGCTCTTGTATCATTGGAGTTCGCACTCCGGCTTGGAGATTTGCCGAGCGCACAGGCAAAATGACCTGGGAGAACCATTTTAAGATCACGATTGACGCATTCGTTTCTCAGGGAAGAACAGCATCACAGGTCCAGAGCGCCCTGATAGCTGGCTTGATGCCATCTGCGCAGCCAAGTGGCTGACATTTTTTGACTGCTTTTTGACGTTTGATTTTTTTTGCATCATGCGGCCGCACGCTCAGCGGCGCAATGGTTGGAATTTGGAGCGGGCGCTTCTGAAGCGTTGGTGCTTTCAATTTATTACTGTGCGACTGTGCGTTGGTGCTTTCCTCAGCGCTGGCTTTTCCTCCGATTGGCTGCTTTCCATTCTGTTTTGTTTGGGCCGATGAACTGACGCTGCCACAAGCATGCTGTTTGGGATGCCTTGCGACCAGCTGGAGGGGGAGATCGATTTGGATTTTGACTCGGTTGTTCGCGTTGCCACGGCGAATGGGTTTATGTGGTGGGAAAAATCTGGCTTAACCAAATTTGCAGACCCAAAAGTTCAGCACTGAGCATCATCCAAGTAAACCAGGGACCGGGTTGGATGGCTGGTGAAAAACTGCTGAGCAAATAACCCGGGGAATGCCCTGCATCGCACGATGTTCTTAGGGCAATTTTAGGCTAGTCATGACAAACCTATATCAGAGCCATTCAGAGCCTTGTTTACATGCCACAAAAACACGTTTCCCCGAATGTGTTGTTTTGTGCCAACTTGGAGGGTTGTATCTTTGCCAGGCCCAATCTGATGGTGGTTGCACGGATCCCAATGACTTAAGAACTCAACGATTTTCCGCCTTTTTGCGTGTTCCAATGACAGATCCCGCCGCTCTGCATAGGTGTGAGACGGTGTGTATAGATCAAATGTTGGAACCTTGGCCCTATAAACGCGCAAATCTCTCAAAATCACATTCCTGGTCCTTTTTACCCTTGGGGCAAAGACCAACATAAACATGTGCAATTTTCATTGATTTCCTTTATGTTGCCTGGCAAGCAAACATGTTGTGTAGGGCAATCTGCCCACCTATATCATATTTCTCCTTCCCCGACGTCGTGGTTTCATATTCCTACTGTAGCGGCTCTAACGTTTGGGCAGCAGAAGGGATGCTGCCTCCATTATATTCCACAATCGATGTGGAAACCGAAAAAAGTTGCGAAAACGGTTTCCATTTCACTATTTCTTGTTGGTTCATTCCTGGCTCACTTGCAAAGTCTTTCACCCCTGGCGGGACGCTGAAACAGGCTCCCTACTGCAGGATGAGGAGTGACATGTGGTTTGACCACTTCAATAAGGGTCTCGTACAGTGTCGCAGCGCCCAGGGAGACAGGGCCGCGGGAGGGGGGCCCAAGGTTGATATGTGCTGCGATATACTTTGACATCGCCACTTGCAAGTGGGAAATTGTGAAAAACCACGGGGGAAAATGTTTACTATCGCAGGCCACAAGGTACGAAGATTTCTTCACGAAGGCATGATGAGATTGCCAGGGGCAGATAATTCCGTGACTGCAACCAATATTGGTACTTTTGGCAGATGTGTTCGTATTGTATGTATAATTTCAGTACGTTTCAATCTATTCCCCTTAAAAGAGCAAACATTTTCAAACATGGCAAGTGAATCTATGAATGTTCGACGGAATCTTGCGTTTTGACAGAAAAGTCAGTGGTTGATCATCATTTCCCTCATTAAAAATGTTGGTTTTTCAGGGAATACCACGCACACCTCTTTTCAAACACACGCGCAAATAAAGCTACTCTGAGAAAGATCATGAACATCATAAATCAAAAACGTTTTCACTTGTTCAGATTAGATTACCACAAGGCCATCCACGAATTCGGACATAAATCCTTGTACAACAACTATGGCAATTTCTCCAGTTTGATTTAATTTCAACCAACCGTAGTCCCAATGTCAGTCATGTTTTCTCTGCTTCGGACCAGACAATTACATCAGAGTTTGCCTGGCAAAAAGACCACAATGACTCCAGGAGTCATGAAGTCCAAAACCAGTTGCCGTGGATAATGGGTTCTCATGTTGTCTTGTCTTAGGTGTTGTCAAAACATGCTGTTTTTTATATGTTTTTCCCAGCAAATTGGTTATATTATACGAAATTGGTAGAACGTTGTTGTTTTTCATTCGGGTATATGTAACAATGGCTAGCCCCAAAATTTTGTTCGGTGAATGATTGATGTTTGGTCGAAATTCAAGCTTGGTTGAGGACTTCGATGACCATTCACATGCTCAAAGTCTGGTATGTGTTCTAAAATTTACATTGATGGATCCACCATGGCCCAAAAGTAGGCATAGCAACCCCTTAAAAGGATAGAACGGTTCACTATTTAGGTGAGAATTTATTTTTCTATCCATTTGGTAGATCCTACAAGTATATAGTTAATATTGTATAATATTATTTAAATTATAGCGCATATTATACCATGGACAGTGTTGGATTGGCGGCAGCCCAGGCGGGATCTGTGGAGATATGGTCGATGAAAGGGATAGCTATCGGGCGCAGCATCCGGAGGAGGATGTATGCGACTTGGCGATCTTTGGCGGTGACAAACTATTTCCGGGTGGTGGTTTGAGACGTTTATTTACTGCATTTGAAGATTGTGCTCTGCACAATTAACAGTAATTAAGGTACACTTCCTGTGACTGAATTCCGGGCCCATCGCCCAATCACACATCATGGGCTCTTGGTTAATTGAACCTGGATCGAGGCCCTTGATTTCAATCAATCCCATGTAGGTGCCTGACCAGCTGGGTCAGAGATAAACCACAAAATATGTAGCCTTGAAGCTAGAACAAATTAGGTCAAAAAGTATTTCCATATATTGAATTTCGACGGTGGGTGGTGAGGGAGTGGGGAGCCGCATAGGTTATCACCCGTATTTGTTGGTGGTTGGACAGACCTTAAATATGTCATATTTCCCGCCAGATCTAGTGCTAAGGTATAAGCAATTTGGAATGATATGTTTCAACTTGTAACGGTCGATAGTTCATGTAAATGGGATAGCCGTATGAAACCTCCCTCCAACTATCAGAGACCGTGTCATGAGTGGGAAGCCCAAAGACGGCTTTTCTCTTAAAATTGATCATTGTCAGGCTCTATTTAGGTTGGATGGATGGTAAACTCCCATTCAATATGTGTTTCATAGCTAGACCATTTTACAATTTGATATATAAACTCCCCATTGGTTGAAGTTAAACGGGTAAACTCCCAATAATTAAGTCTTTGATGATTAGATCACATTAGATCACCATTTTGGCTGGTTCAACCTTATTTCCACGCGGTTACACCATGTCCCCCTGGAGCTTCATGTGGCCATCTGGCCTGGATGACGCCGCATCTATATCATCGAGGATACCGATCTATATTGTATTTTTATATATATAAATAAATACAAGATAATGTGTGATCACATATAGGTATGTATGGTATATACAAATATATATATATATACATGTTTTGGCTACATATATATATATATACACATGTTTTGGCGATATATTTTGGTTAAAAATAGCATGTTGTGTTTGTTTCAAGAGTCTTCAACTTCGCCTTGAAACCACTCCGGTGCCGACACGTTCGTCGCTCAGTGGACTTGGTGTGCTACAAATGTCCGAGACTTAAAATGTGGACGACCTCCGGCGGGGTGAATGTGACTGTGGATGTTTTTGTTGATCTGATGGAGCTGTGCTTGTTGTTAGTAGTAGTATGATTATCGTTGTTTTCCCAAAATTGTTATTGGTTATCATTATTATTGCTACTGTAGTTGTTGTTTGTTTCTTCTCATGCTGTACATCTTCTATTTGTTAAACGGATCCCTATGTCACTGACGATCAAACCTTCCCACCATCAGGGTCGAGCTGGTCAACCCTTGCGACAGAATCACGGTCAACGATCAGAATCAGAATATTGGATAGTTCTTTGTTAGTTGGTTCTACTATGTTCTAGTTGTATCCCAATCATCCTCTTCGTGTCTTGAATACAGCCCAATATATTGTTTAATATAGATATTATGCAACGGGTGAAAGTCATTGACCCCATGGAGTTGTTAAATGACAAAAATCACCCATGTTGTAAGTCCAGTGAACGGGATCTGGCAACGACCTCACCATGGATGACAGTAGAGGGAGTCAACCCAAGAGGGGCGCAATTTGCCCAGAAATGCTCTACATGCAATAGAGAATAATAGAGTACAATAGGGTTGTCTTTTGAAAGACGAGGTATCGTAGCCACATTCCTCTGCAATCCGAGATTGACCATCCCCGCAGCAAGGTGCTGATTGGCTAGACCCGCTGAATGTCTCGCTGGAGCCGGGCCGAGGTTCGCTGCCGTGCTGTAGCGACCAGTATCAGTTTTCTGTTGGTTTATTGTTGGTTTATTGTTGATTTTCTTGATCTTTCTGGTTCATACCATTTCTTGCTAATTAATTAACCCCTAATTTCTTGGTTGAAAAGCCATGTGATATTTGTTTGATATTAATCCCAAAATCTGAAATGGTCCCTCCAGCCTCACATGTCAGGTAGCGTAGGCGACCTGAAAGTCGTAGAGCCACGCCGCAGGTTCCGGCAGCCAGGACTCCTGTCGGTTTCTGGGGATATACATGTAAAATAATTGTGTGTACATACACACACACATATATATATAAATGTATAAATGTAAATATTTACATTATATATATATTGATTTATTTATTTATTCATGTATTTATATATAAATGTATATGTATAAGTTTTTTCTTTTACTATCATATTTCCATATATAAAAATATATTCTTCAATTGTACATTTTTATTATTATTGTTTATTATTTATATATATATATGTATTTTATTTCATATATTATTTAAATAAAGTGTATTTTACTGGGGGTTGACGAACCAATAAAAACTCATGAGCATTTGGCAAGCCATTGAATGGGGAAATAAATTCCTATTTGGCAGTTTGGGGGAAAAGGACGATGTCCGGTGAGAGAACAGTGGAGCAGCCAGGAAATGGGGATTGGACCAGGAAAAACTTGTGGCAACAAACCATGAACAATGTGCAGTTGGAGTTTTTTTTTCATGGGTACAATCATAATGATGTCATTACCAGAAGGTGGTATATACTCAATGAATATTTGTTCGTCCATAAATAGAGGTACGGCGTACAGACCAGCGAAATGGGAATTACTATGACCTTACGGGCTGATACCGGCTGATGGTTTCAAATATTTGATCATGATTGCTTTTGTAACATTCAACAGTGGTTCAAATATTCACGCCTGTTGATAAACTCCTTGTTGGTAGAATCCCATGTGGGTTATTTTGTTATCTAAATAAAAACAGTTTTTGAATGGTTTTGGGTCAACAATCATAGGTCATGGGGGCATTGCCCGCCGCAAATTGAGTTCAGTCGGTGGTTGGAGTTGTATAACTACCCATTCTGTTGGTAGTCCCAAGTGCTGGGAACCCATATAATTATGGCTAGCCATATATTGGGGATATATGGTCTTATTGATAATAATATATTGTAGTGATCTACTGCTAGCGATTGATATATTTCTATGGCTGGGGTTCCCAGTTCAGATAAATCATGATGATGGTTCAACCACCAGGCTGGGCTGCAGCGCCATGCGACCACGTGGCAACCTGAGTCCGGAGGCGGGGACAAATTGGACAAATGATTGGGTCGAAATCGGGTACCCCAAAAATCCTCAAAGCATGGATGCGTAAAATTTCAAAAAATACCAGAATCTTTTTGGTTTTAAAATTTTAGGGCCTTAATTATTTTTGACCCACCGCCTAGTACGAGGATTTCCTGAAAATTGGCTGGTCTTAGACTGGGGCGGTGGATTTAACCAGCAGAAGCTGTGGAATCTAGTGGGATGCGTTGTTTGTTCGATATGTTTGTGCTGTTTGGGCAGTCTTATAAAAGCAAATTCCATAAACTAGAGGCTTTAAGCAGCAAAAATTGGGACGGACCGGAAAACATGTAGATTTCACCAGCGACAATGTTCAGTTCAGGTAATTTTGGGGGGAATAATTTAGGTTTTTTCTCCAAAGGTGGGATATAACACATCTCCCTTGTCAACTGGAACTGCAGCCCCAAGTATCCCAGGTATTTTTACCTACTCAACTCAAAATCCTGATGCAAGCTTGGGTTTGGAAAAGGATTCTTGATAGAAAAGTCATTGTTTGCTTCTTTTCACGGGTATGGTCTCAAAAATGTTACAGTATGTTTTAGTGAAAGTTTCAGAGTTACAGCATGGACATTGGTCAAACTTGGTACCGAAAAGCTTAGCGTGCCTGCAGAAAAAAAGTCCGAAATTGAGACGAAAGTGTGGTTCCAAAGTTCTTAGTTTTTTTTGACCAGCACACAGGGATCCACTGCTGGTGATGTCAGCATGTATGCGCTTGCCTTGAAAGTATACGACCCCAAAGTTGGATGCTTCATAGTAGACACAGACACACGTGTGAGGGCCCCTTTAGTACATTATGGATTGGGATGTGTGCAAGGGTCATTAGTAGTTTCCAGGTCCGTGCCATGCGTTTCTTGACATTTGGGTGAGGCTGAAGGTACTCACAATTGACGCAACATGTACAAAATCTCTCAGGAAAGTAACCAATCCAAAAAAACCTCTCCGTTGTGCCATGGAGATTTGGGTACGGCCTAAGTTCTTTGGATCGTGGGGTATGCTGGGTGCCGGGACAAGTTCACGGGTTCTTCGGGCTCGGGCAGCAACGATGGTAGAGAAACAGCCAAAGAACTGACGCACAATGAGTGCTGGTGTTTGGGTAAATATGATCATCCCAAGATTTCGCTTAGTTCAGCATATTTCGATATTAGTTTCTGGATGTCAAAAACGGAAAACAAGTGAAGTGACTAGGGAGAAAAAGGGTAACTTGAAAGTATGAGATTTGGACGATTCAATACACCAAGTCTGCGTAAGGATTCTGAACATTATAAGGAACATGCCTCTTGTACTGCGCTTGCCACGGAACATGCATCTTTGCAGATCCTCTTCAAACGTCCCACGCTTGTCATCGTTTTTGGAAATGCCGCAAAATCCTCACGTTGTGCTCACTTGTGACAAGGTGCACAATCTTTTGCGCCTGCCACGCGAAACGACATCGGAACGTCCAAAAGTGGTCTGAACATGTAGTGCTTTTAACACGTTGACCTCGAAATGTGCTTCGCGCATCCTGGCAACTACTAGCTAGGGACCATATGACTTTCCGGAAAGAAAAAAGAACCACATTCGGTTGATTCAGCAACCTCGATTGCGACTTCTTTTGTATGTTTGAGTTCTTCCATCAAATGTTACTCAAGTGTTTGCTGAATTTCAAGAAAAATCCGATGGAGCCAACGAAAATGCCTTCTGGAGGGTCCATGCTCAGGTGAGTGAACCTCCCTATGACACGCCCATGGATCCTTGCTACAGCTGCTGCTTGGGCTTGTACAGTGCTTGTACAGCGTGAACGTTGTTCGGGGTAGGACTCGGATCCCCATTCCTGGACCTGCTGAATCTCGATAATTTCCCTTCGTGGTAGAACGTTCCTGTGTTCACAGATTAAGTTCATTTTGTTGGTCCAGTGATGTCCAGTGTTTGTTGTTAGATGCCCATGGCTGAATGAAATTCCACATCCTAATGGCCCGCATGTTTCTGTTGTTGGAACTCTATGACTCATGTGGGGTCCATCGGAAAGGCAGAGAAAGATTCAGAAACAACAGCTCTTTTTGTTGCTACACTCAGTGACAACGAGGGGATATCGGATCTTGACCCATGTGCAAATTAACCATCATTATCTATGTATGTGGTTCCTTGCTTCAATGGGACATATTTTAATATATACACATATACATACACATTTATTTCTTTACAAGAATTATGTAGACCTGTACATGTATCTATTACTATATATATATATATACGTGTACTTATTATATAGATACTACTATATGTTTTATTACATATATATATATTACTATATATGTACTTATATATATATATGCATTATTGTATTTATATATGTTTATTTCTATATTTATATAAATATATGTTGCTGTGTATATTTTATTACTGTATATATATATATATTTCTCTCTATATATATATATTACTATATATACATATATGTTCTATATATTACTATATGAATTACCGTATATATTACTATATATTATTTACTATATATATATATCACTACATATTGTGTTTTACTATATCTATATATATTACTATATATAATTTACTATATATATATATATACATGTGTTTTTAATTTCTATACACACATATGTATATATATATATTCCTATACATGCACGTTGTTTAAAAACTAGACGACCGCTGGCCCGAGAGCGAGTAGGTGTATAGGTACTCAGATGTGTCATGTAGTTGTATGATTTGCAGACACCAAAGATTTATATGAATATGTTCATGAGAATGTTGCTTGAGATCATGCGAATATGCTCATTATGTGTAGATGTCAAGATAAGAAGATGTGAAGATGTCCGGGTTTTAGTTGCAAGAGACAAACAAGGTATGCTGTATAGAAGATGTGAAAAATACAAAAACATTCAGATACCCTGATAGACTATCCAACACAGACACACGCAGAGAAACATGTTTACACATATATACACACAGACACACACAAACCCACACACACACAGAAGCTTTTACACACGGAAGCCTGTACACACGAAAGTTTTTACACGCAGAAGCGTTTAGACACAGACACTTTACACACAAAAGCTTTTACACACAGACGCTTTTACACACAGAAGCTTTTACATACAGAAGCTTTTATACAGAGAAACTTTTGCACACAGAAGCTTTTACATACAGAACCTTTTGCACACAGAAGCTTTTACACACAGACGCTTTTATGCACAGACGCTTTTACACACAGACGTTTTCAAACACATAAGCTTTTACACACAGAAACTTTTACACAGATACTTTTACACACAGAAGCTTCGCCGGACCAACCAAAGTCGCCAAAAACTCCACTTTTTGAAACTCGAACGTCATTTCGTGCGAAAAGGTTGCCGCGGAGGATGTATATAAAATCGCAATTTCACTGCAGTTTTTGACGATGGAACCTCGTTTCGTGCGAAGGGGTGGCCATTTCGTGGCACCTCGCAGCCTAAAGAGAGAAGAGAAAAAGAAGGAGAGAAACCGTGACAGATGGCAGGGAAAGGGGGAGAGAGAGAGAGAGAGAGTGAAGATGTGAAGATGTGAAGATGCGAAGATGTGAAGAAGATGAAAAGATATGAAGAGAGAGAGAGAGAAGGAGAGAGAGTGAAGATGTGAAGATGAGAAGATGAGAAGATGTGATGAACATGTGAACATATGAAAATGTATAGCAGACCTCCACTATTAGAAGAACCTTTTGCTCAGACGCTCTCGGAAAAACAATGTGTGTGAAACATACGGGGATGGATCAAAATTCAAGACGCAGGGGACAACAAATGTTGGTCACGAGCCGTTCTTGTGAAATATTTTGCGACTTCACTGGCCGACCTTACTGTAGATGATGGTGAAATATATTGATCGGGCCCCCTTTAAATCATTTTTTTTAGAAATCATCATTGTGATACTGAAAATATGGTATGATCAGCATCTTCATTACGATCATGATGATCTTTTCGATCGATGGGATCATTGCTGAATCATTACTACATAGATGGTCACCATTGTCAAAATTACATTATTTTTTTTTGGGGGGGGTAGCCCTGAAACGAATGATAATGTAATATGACATGATTACATAATATAATCCCATTTATTGTATTATTTACATGCTCCCCACACCTCCAATGATCATCTCACCAAATCCCATCAACTCGACGTCACTCGTCAAGGCCAGACGGAGGTGCCATCGGACACCGAGGCGGAGCTGAGAGCCAAGGCACGGACGTTGGCGGCGACCATCCAAAATGGGGAAAACTATGGGAGTTTCATTAGGTAAAAGTTCCCAGTAGAAGATCAAATTCCCATAGTTCATGATCATCCCATGTTTTACATCCAGAACTGGGAAAACTATCATGGAAGTCATCATCAACTGTTCCCAGTAAACTATCAAACAAATAATTAGAAAAATGTGGTCTTGCAACATGTTATCGCACTTGTTGGTTAAGGATTTAGGTAAAGTCTGCAGGAAAACCCGATATTTAACAGTCAAAACCCAGGTTTCCTGTAGAGAGTTTCCCTTAAACCAACCAACTGAAAGTGAGAAATAGTATGGAAATTAAACATCCAAAAAACCAAAGGTAGCCAGAGCTGGGTAGACCTTGACACAGAGTAGTTAAATACTAGGGCAATTTACTACCCAACGAAAGATACAACTTTGATTCCAGGATATCAAAGTTCAACCACGTTGGGTGATTTCACTGGTGAAAAGGATGTGTTCAATATCAAAACGGTGGGTTTAGTTTGCTTGTGCGCATCAAAATTTGGATTTAACTAACGATTTGATACCGCCCAGGACTCACTATCATGGAGACAATTGAAAACTAGACTAGTGAGTGGTAGACCGTGATGGTGGCTAATGCGGTAAAGACAATCAGCGATGCCAAATTATGGGATCGAAATGTGGGGCTATACCCGACAAAACTATACACATTTATTTATGTGAATGGATGTGAATGGTATGCTTTGATGGGTCATCCAACTTACATCCAACAAGATAAGGAGATGGTCAGGGATGTAATGAAAACTTGGTAAAATTACTGGTGCAGTAAGTGGTAGATGTGGTTGCCTAGCTTCCTGATATATTCGGATGAAGAAATATAATGTCCCAACCTTGCTAAAGATGCTGAAAATCTTGCCGAAGTTGGCAATGCCATCATCAGATTGGTTTAAGAGATTGGTTTCTGGAAACCTCGTAACCCCGCATTGTGAAAGGAACAAAAACGCTGCTCTCTTTAGATGATTCCCTGAAATCAATCCACTAATTGGTTATATATCCTCTGTATGTTGATTGAAAAATGTTCTGCGGTTAACTCCCAAGTTTTGTAGAGTTTTGTTGCTTAAATCCCATAAAATCCCATAAAATCATCTAAAATCCCCCAGTTTTGGTTGGCTCGTCAACCCTCGTGGCCGGGGAAAAATTGGAGGCACTCCTGGAAGGCCTTTGAGGCGGTGCAAGAGGTTTTTTCGGTCGACGAACTGCGGTGGAGTTTACTGCGGAAGGGACAAGAATGGAAAAGAATGGGAAAGAATGGAACAAGTGTAGAATAACTGATGAATAACTGATGAATAACGGATGAATAACTGCTGAGTAACTGATGAATAGATGATTCTATAGAGTAAAACTAACTAGTTATAAACATGTCCTGTAACTATGTTTGAGGATGAAGACAATTGCAAACAACGGCAGTAAATATGACTAAATGATTAATTGAATACATAAATATACATAATAAATCATAACAAATGCAACTCGATTTCTTGGTTGCTGATTCTAAATTTTAAATAACTATGGCTTGAATCTTAACACCACCAGAATTGAATGGCCTTTTACATTTGTGGCAGATATTGGCCAATAGGAACCCTAAAGTCAACAACCCCCAAAAATGCTGGAAGATTAGTTTTCTAATGTTTTCTATTACATGTGGCCATTGTTCTGGTTCCACGGCAAATTTGCTGGGTGGCCTATACGTGTAGCTTGTTGTGGCGATATACCTGAGCAACAAGATAGCGTGATAGCCCCTTATAGAGCAACACGATACCTTAGGTATGTGGTTACACTTTTTTGTTTCACTTGTATTTCGGTGAAGGACGAAATAAACCCTGCAGTTTGCGTATTTTGTGTGTGTGTGTTGGATTTTTTGGGGGGGGACACTCATGGTTGCCCTGAGAGCGAGAACGCTTTGGGTTTCTTGAGATGTTCCAGTCAGTACAACGGGAACTGCAAATGGTTGGTACCCAAATGATAATTGTGGTTGGATTTAATGGGATTAAGTGGTGCTTTATGGTGGTGAATATGTATTTAGCCAACAGGAACAGTGATATTAATGGGAATACCATGTGGCAATTTAACGTAGCCATGGAACATCACCATGTCGATAGTTGGTAAATCATCAACAAATGGTTAATTTTCTATAGCCATGTTAAATTACCAGAGGGTAGTCCATGCTATAGGTAAATGTGAGAATGATTAGGGTCAGCAAATACGCGCCATATCAACAAAGCCATGGGTCATGTGAACTGCTTCGAAGAAACTCCACCAGCACAGATTGACCAATTATTCGTTGCGCAACAGCAAAAGGTTGCGAGAAACGATGCAAGTACAACTGATTGGTGCTTTCAAACGTTAAATGAGGATGTTTTACCACAGAAAATGGAGACGCCTCAAGATGAATTATGGATACATACAGCAAAACATGCCGAATTCAATATATTATGGTTTTACGGTTTTACCCATCCATGGTTGCTGATGATTGGGGCCCGAATTGACTCTGTAACATGTTTTGGGGTTTGTTGAAGTCACCAATGAAACAAACCTGGGAAATTCGCAGCTGCGCCTGTGACTGGTCCCTATGGGTCAAAATGTTCAACGGCATCATCGCAAACCTCACCAGAAGTGATAAGTAGTACTGCAAAAAGCATCAAGTGTGGGGGTCGAACACAAATTCTCCAAATATATTTTGGCATTATACGCACAAATGTATACAGCTGTTTTTATCTTTAAATACACTATTTAGGTGAATCTGGGCCATTTTGACCCATTCGTTTCCCAGTCCTGAGCATCAAACATGGCTGGCTGGGAAATGCCGGACTAAATGGAGGTTGTAATGACCAATTATCCATAAATTGGGTGGGTCCATTGCTATGTTCGACTACCAGAGGACATGTGTTTACTCTTAAACAAATGATCCCCACACTTGCCGGGGAGCAATTTCCCTTGTGTTGGCTCATGGATGTTGCACCGTTTTATTTGGACCATCCCCTGTTGGATTCTCCCCGAGAAACTTTCAGAAATTGGGATTTGGGATTTGGTATGTTCCGGTTCAAATAGGTCAAATCGATACGACCCCCAAGATATAACGTATATATAATGTATAGATAGTGTGATATGATTCCCTTTGAGTTTCAGAGCCAACAATTCCAACAATTTGAGCAGTACGGTGCTCATTTCTTCAATGGTGCCTTGGTTTTCAAAGTATTACTTTTCTGGTTGGTGGTGTCGGACACGTGGATAATTTAGGATGATGATCTTCAATGGCTATAGATATAATAACATATAATATCTATATAAATATATCTAATAACTTGTTTTTAAACAGTCTGAATCCACCAATCAACTTTGGTTTCCCTGGCATGAAGATGTCCACCTCTCCCAGGCCTGTGTTGCCTGTATTGTTTTGTGAATTTGGAGAAGCAAAGGGAGGCAAGTGATTTGTACGTTAGGTTCCTTTGACCAGGTATACACCATTGCAACCAAACGTGGAACCCTAAACATGTGATTAGACAGTTAGACATGTGATTTTGTTTGAAGAAGCAGTGCGGTGTTTGGTTCCATGGTACTGACTAAGTGCCTAGAGACGACACCTCCGTGGCTGCACTGTGTGTTGGTCTTAAAGTGTCTTCCCTTGCAGAAAAAAGTCGCCGAACAATTTTTTGATGGCCTTGCCAGGGTCTGTTTTTCAAGACGCCCCGGCATGCCGCAGGGTGGGTCGAACCCTTGGGACAACCAAGGCAGATGAGACTAACCAGTTGAGTCCAGAAGGGAACATTGTCTTCTCCCCTGTTAGGATTTCACTTGAATTTACAAAGGTTTGGACCTGCCCTGTGAAAATCCATTGTGGGATGGAAATAGGCCGCCTATTTCCGTGACGTTTCACAGCTCGCGAGCTGCTTCCCACAGAAGGAAGCCAGAGATGCCAGAAGCAGTTTGTGATATCCAGTCCTAATCTGGTTGGTGGTTTCATATGTTCCTGTTCAATGAGTTTTCGAGATTCTCATCCCAACACATGTGTCAATTCATTTAAACATTGAGAATATGTTCATCCCGGATGATAAATATGTTGTATTTTTCAAGGGGTCGACCACCAACCAGTAATCAGTTTAGACAGAGGAAGGCGTGGAGTCCTATCTGACGCGGTGACTTTCAAAAAATTGTCTTGAAATGAAAGATGCGTGTGATTGACCATTAGGGGGACCCATCAAATGGCAATTGTTTATGGATAAACCATGTTTTTTTTTTTCGTGGGAGTTGTCAGTAATTGTCCTATCTTTGGACAACCCCAGATGGCAATTTTGGTTGTGTAGTTCTTGCTTCCAGAATTTGAGCAGAACGCAATCACCCTTTAAATGTTCAAGATAAACTGGCACTGTTTTCCGGGCACGCACTGAAGTGGTAATGTGTTTCCTCCTGACAAACTCATTTTTTTGCGTTTTCCGAGAATTTATATATGCATAACTGCATAACATTGTCATATCCGTGTAATTGAGGACCATTTGGTGACTTGTTTGTCCTGGACTGTATCTACAAGCGGAATTCAAAAGCATGACAACTCCCTTATATCGAGCCGGCAGGTTTTTGGATTAATTATGCTATGCCTGGGTTGCAATCATGGATTAGTCTCATCCAAAAACCAGGGCCGTTTCTACCATTCTGCATGCCCATATGTGGGCCATGTACTGTATATACATGTCCCTAGATTTGAGCCTTTTTTGAAAGCATCGGGAAACATACTACACTGTTACTACACATTGAGCATTCATTGCAGACGGGAATCTTTGCTGATTTGTTTGATTATGACCCCCCAAAATGGAAACGTATCAAAACCGCGTACGCCCAGAGTCTAGTGATTAAAATAACATTCAAAAGACAGAAGATCTCCGGCAACTTGGTGATCTTGTCATGCTTGCCTGGTTCTGAAGACCCCTATTTTGACATCCCTACATTTAAAGCCATCTGCCATTTTCGCCAGCTTCAGCCAGGGCTGGGAGATTGGTCAAATGGAGGTGCCACCAACGATAAAAAGGGCAGCTGCTGTCAGCGGATCTCTTCAACCCCAGATATATGAAGCCCTTAATTGTTTTGCTGGGGAGTCCTCTTTGGTAAACATTATGTTATGTTATTATATATTGTTTTTTGTGGGGCAACCTACTGATGTACTAGTTATTCAATCACTGTTTTTTGATCCAGTTTTGACATTATTGAACCAGATGTGCGTGTTGACCCACTGACTAATGTATATAGCTTGATTTGAAAAGAACAGCTGCAGAACTTTGCGGCTGATGTCTCGGCAATAGATTCCATGTCTCCAGATCCCCCAAAAAAACAGAATCTCATGATTAATCAGCCAAGAATCTATGGGATGGGCACCGAAAAGGATTCACCGTAAAACCCTATACCCTCTAGTATAGGTATATTATATATATAACAGTTTGCTGTGTAAAATCATAATAGGTGAATCATGGATCATGGATCATTTTCCATAGCTATGTAACAGATTACCCAGAGGGTAGAACCTATTAATATCACCATTCGATTCTTGTTGGTTGAATAAATTCAAATACATATTCACCACATTTCACCACCATCAAACATTCATAAAACCAGCATGTTTCTATATTTTTGTTGGTTTCATACATATTCACCACCATAAAACCTCACCTTTTGGTCGCATGAAAACCCGGGAAGATTTTCAGGATCTTCCCATGGACGACTGGCGTCGGTCGTCATGCCAGGACGGCGTGCGTCCCTCTGAGGACGGCGAGCCAGTGGGGAAGACCTGGGGAAGAGAGGCTGCGGCTGGGGAATGATTATTTGGTAGTTATATGGGGGAATAACTATGGAATAACACACTTAAATTTATTTAAATATCTATATAATTAATTATGTTTTTTTCATAATTTGGATAGTATACCAATCATGGTAATATACCAATATATAATACCAACAGGTTGTTCAGCAATTAGGTATTTAGTATATAAGAATTGGTGATGCGGAACATAGGATATCAAGGCATGGTATGTAATATACCAAGAATTAGCAATTTGGTAGTGATAGTTTGGATAATGATAATTTGAGACTGGTAATGAGCTATAATGTTTTAGTATGATACAATGGCATTGTGGTACTGATAGTGGCAATGATAGTAGATGTTCATTAGCTTTGAACCAATCTACCAGAATATATGTGTCATTGATTAATAGCAAAGATGATCAATTGCACATTTTGTGATTTATCGTATCATGAACCAACTTGGTAGTGTAGTGGAGTGAATCATGATCAATCATACAGTTTTACCCATGCACTTTTGATGATTAAAAGCCTGTAAATGACGCTTAAACTATCTTAAATTTGCATTTAGGTACTAAGTGTATAATAACCCAACTAGATTAGGTTTGTGAGATATACCCTGGTCATTAATCTGGGCTGCATTCATGACTGCCATTTGGGTCCGCCCGACGTACATCAAAGAACCGTCAATGATACATACGAGACGCTGGGAATGCACAATGTGTATGAGCTATATGTTTTCTTTTGTTTAAGAACTGGATGTAAATAGAAGTAAGTATGGTCGATGGATGAAAGTGGAGCATGCAACCAAGCAACAATGTGGACATGTGTATATGTATGTATAAATATGTACACAACGGAAAGTGTATGCAAAAGCTAGGGTATGGGAATGTGGCCAGCGATGTTTGGATGTTTCTGAAAAAGAACAATTCAAAATTCACAGTTGGAGGTAAAAGATCAGGAATCCATACTTGTGAATCCAATGACTTTGCTTGTTCCCTCCAAACGGAGTTCGGCCGATGGTTCATGGGTGGCTTGGGTTAGGGCAGTTTTCATGCAGCAGTTTCACTTGATACTCATGTCAGTGGTCTGATGATTGTTGGGAACGCACGAACTTTATTATGGGTTGTACAGTTGTACATCCATTTTGGTGGTTAAAGGAGCATTGATGCTTTCATCCCAAATGTATGTTGAATACAAATGAATTTTGGAACTCAATCCACCAGACCATCAACCAATTTTAGTTGGTGCCATTTTCAGACTGCCTCGCGAACATCCCACCAGCTACGTGTTGTTGGTTGCTTTGACCGTACACTTTTTGAATCAGCCAGTATAGTTGTTCCATGTTCTTCCAATATGTTGACGACATTTGGTTGTTATATGTGCGCACAAGCACCAGATTCACCTGATGATATTACTGTATGATTTGAGATCTAAAAGTGAATTGAGATCTAAACATCAAATTCACCAGATTATCAAATAAAAGTGAATTTATGAATTTGTTCTTTTGAGATCAAAACATCAAATTCATAAAGTCCCGAGTCGCTTCCCAATCTCGCTCAGTCAGCTGAGTCGCCTTAAATTTCAGCGCACTGAGGATGTGTTCGTCTCCCATTCCTATACAGAGAATTGTCAGCACCTCAATCTTGCAGCTGATTTGTAGCGGATTTCAGGTGTGGATGCCACCAGCCAAACATTATTTATGATATTAACAAATATTAACAAATATTAATAATTAGTAACCATCAAGCATCAAAGAGATAGAACAACAATACCTTAGTAGGATGTTGTTTTTCTATCTTTTTGTGGTTGCTAAACATTGGTATACTGCAAGCACCTTCAACAATGGAAATTGTTGCCGTCCCGGAAATGATTTGTTGAAGAGAGCACAGGCAAGAAATCCGTAGGAAACCCTCGCATTTGGTTTCTGAACAAATCATACCACCACACATCATGACACAAGCTTATCACTCATTTGGGTGTGTCTAAAGATTTGCTATAATTACTCCCCCATGGCCATTTAATTGGGGAAAGTATGGGAAAATGACTAATCGTACTAATCTATCTTTTTTCAGGGGTATTCCCATGATTTTCAGACTAACCCATGTTTTTCTCCTCAAAAAAGTGACTTTCTCTTCAACTGATTCCGCTTGAAACAGGTCGACGTGTGGACATGGCGCTCTTCGAGTGCAACTGTCCCAACAGCCGGAGACCTTGGTGATCCTTGATGCCATGGGTCTCAAGCCATGTAAAATAGCCCAAAATGATGGTGATTTACCAATGAACAATGGGGGATTTTGTGATGAAGAAATGGGATTTAAATGATTTACCCTCTGGTAATTTAACCGTTTGCTATCGAACAATGCAATTCCTCATAAGTAAAACATCGAGCTAAATGGGCCATCTATACCATAGCAACGTTAAATTACCCCGCGCATAGTGTCGGGGGATAAACATCCACCTTTACCAGCTAGTTTGGGTGTGAACAGAAGGGTACCAGGGTTTTGACTCCCAATTTTTTCAACTTCAATCTGGGACAATTATGATAAACTACAAGCCATAGAGGATATCAATAGGACGTCAAATTGAAGAGGGAAAACGATGATTGGCCAGCGGATTTTTTTGGGGGGTTACCCCAATTTCAGACAAAACCCACGTTGGAGAACGATAAATACATGATTAGGTCGTGTAAAACCAACATAGCCAACCCAAAAAATAATTGGGCTATGGAATGATAGTGGGGGGGATATGATGACCAAACAAGGGGATACAACGGGGATACAAAAGAAGCAGGATGTAAATGAATATAGTCCCGTCCCTGTTATAATGTTATAATGCTAAGCACCCCTGATTTGGGCCCCAAAAATGAATACGCTCTGGTAATTTAACAGTTTGCTACGGAAAATCGCCATGTTTCATAAGTAAATCATTGAGCTAAATGGATTTAGATAACCTATACCATAGCCCATAGCAAACTGTTTTTTTTTCAACTGGCAGGGCCAGTACTGTTACTTAATCTACATGACATTCCCGATAGGTCTGACCTGCTGTTCTCACCTCTATGCTGGGGTCGTGGCGTTGCCTCAGTCGGGATGGCCCAGCGGCGGTGTCATGTCGCTCTGCATCCGTTGGATTTTCATGGATTACACCAAGCATCATGGGCACTTACCCTCTGGTAAATAAACATAGACCCTGAAAATAACCAATTTTCAATGGAAACTAATCTTCCAAGTCCTATTTGCCAGGGTCTATGTTAATTTACCAGAGGGTATCATGAGGATGTGTAAGTTAGATCCCAAAGAACATTTCCATTACATTCCCATCAATTGAGGAATAGGGATATTATGGCGATATGAATGGGATATGCCAAAAAACTATAGATTTGACGGGTAGGTTTGATGGGCACTCCCTGGTTCATAGGGAGCATGTCTTTTAACATCGTCGTATTGTCACTATAAAGCGTTGATAGCGCCTGTAGGTTTAAAGGGATCAGTGACCAAGTTAAACCTTGGTACCCATTTATTCCTGGGTTTCACCTTTACATAAAACTGGGGCTTGTTTGTTCCAGTTGTTCCTGGAACTACATACAAATTGTGGGAGTGCCTTGCCCAACAGGCCCTTGCCCAAATGAGCAACTGCGCTCAGAACATGATATGGCCCAACAAATCGCTCGCAATTGCAACTGGCGTTAACAGCCGAGATTCAAAATGTATGTATGTCTGAACTGGGGCATACCCATAAAATGAGATTTTCAATAGGGAAGATTCTGAACCAGTGGCTTTAGAGACACCGTATTTTCAAACTAGTGACATTTGCAGTTGCATTTGCATTACATATACATTACATTTATGTATTACATATCTTTCATTTAAGCTTCAAGATCTTGTTTTACGTAAATAAGGTCTTACGGACATAAAATATATGTCCGTAAGATCTTTTTTACACAAAATCAAATCTTACGCACATTTGCGCGTTTGTGAAAAACAATTGTGGGGGCATATGTGACACAGATTGCCCATATATGTTGCAAATAAATGCGGAAGCTATATGTATATACGTATATACCCTCTAGGCCCTCTACAGAGTATAGCTCTTGAACCAAGTTAACCTATCACGCGCCTCAAAACATGGCTTCCTTTGTGGTCTTATGGCCCCTTCATGTCCTGTCCTGATTCACCGAGCTCTTTCTGAGTTGAGTCAATCAACCAGCTATTGATGAACAGCCTCATGGGAGGTATTTGCAACATTTCCTCCCAACTTTCAGTGGCATTTGTGACAAGAAAAAGAAACTTCATTTGAAGGTGGTTGTCCATGGTGGTCCCAAAATTGTTATGCATTTGGTTGATATCTTTACTAATCCCATCCCCCCCAATCTTCGGTTTTTCATGGCTTTCGAGGTATCGCCACCGTGCTGCCTTGCTCTGGGCCATGCGTCAGGCTAGGGACTCAGGGACCGGTCCCCATGGGATATCCAACCAATAAGCAGCACTTGGGTTTGAACAACAAAACTGGGGGATCTGACTTGCTATAGTAATGTGGACATTCTATGATATTGAATACCACGGGAATCCTTGGTTTTAATGGTGGTTCAACCATCAATAACGGGAATTTAAGTAGAAACAAAGAGGGATATATAAATCGGATATATAACCCACAATATATCAATATAATATTTGGGTGCGTCCTCAAGATCTGCATGTACCCCCAAAGTGGTGGCAGCTTTGATTGCGGAAATTCTCATGAACCAATGCATGGAATGGGGGAACCTTTCAGAGAAACCTATGTCCAACTGAAAACTGATTTGGATGTAATGGATATGGAGAAGCCATGGGGAAACCTTTGGAAATGATCTCGAATCATGGTGACCATGGTGGGTTCTCCATAGCTGGAGCGTCGACTTTGCATGTCTGGGAAATCTCGGCGAATTTTCCAAGCCATGTTTGACACCAGAGGCGATCCATTTTTGGGGGGTACACTCCGGTAAACGTTCCCAAAAAATTATGGAAAATCAGCATTTTTCATAGGTAAATCATGTATTTCTATGGGCCATTTTCAATAGTGTTAAATTACCAGAGAGTACACCCCTATATTTTGTGGTTTGTTGAACCAGGATCTTGGTTTCCGTGCGGGGGGCCACGACTTTGAGCAAGTGAGCAATGGACCGAGGCTGGTTACCGCGGGTCGACCCGGGAGTTCTGCGAAGCCAAGGGCGATTAGTAGGAAAATAGGGATTTGACCAGGCAAAAATAGGGATGATGTGGATTTAACCATCCAAATTGTGGATTTTTAACATAATTTAACATGATTCAACCAGCCAAAATGTGGATGAAAAGGGATTTAAGCTATCAAAATTTCTGAATACTGATATAATCGCTGGGTGATCATGGCAGGGTTGCGCGTCCTGCCATGGGCTTCGCAGGGGAGGATTTGAGGCGGCACGGCGACGGCTGAAGGCGTCGCCCTGGGAGAATCCACACATGTTTTTGGTACCCTCTGGTAATTTATCATAGCTATTAAAAATACCACATTTATAGTGAATTACCCATTAAAACCAGTGATTTTCCATAGATATGTTAGTTTACCAGAGGGTAAATGTCCTAATTATTGTGGATCATTGTGGATCTGTTATTTTCAAACATTGCCTTAAGATGTTTCTCAGTGTCTGGGTGATGTTCAAATGGAAAATGGATCACGTAAAACACCAGTTATATAGCCATTTACACACAGTTGATTGTTTATTGTTTCTGATTGTTGTTGATAATTGCTACTGCTTATCGCCTGACTTTAGTTGTTCAATACCCCACGCACCAACTAGTGATTTATATTGCTTATACCACCTGGGATGTGCACCCACATATTGGACAAATGCAGCATCATTTTGATGTATTGTTGGGCATATATACAGTATATACACACCATTCTATCCTCATGATGGATTCTACTATACCGACTTATACCGTATACCCCATAACTTTGTTGGTTGAGGAAAAATCCGAATGAAGTATACACTGATTAGCGTCCATTTGTTTCTCCTTAAATCTCATTCACCGTTGTACGTATTCCATTTTACATCCCCACAAAGTGGTTGGTTGTATAGATCGTGTTGGTCATTTATCAGATTGTTGTTCTGTGTCCCATGTTATATAATGTTGTTATTGTATAGACACACGGGGGACACCCGAACATCCGAAGATCGAACATATAGAAAAACATATAATCATTCCAAAATTATATTACTGTCTTTGTTCTTGAGGTTTATATGTTGCTATCTTTCAATTTTATATGTATATACAGTTGTATACACCGCATGTCTATCCATAATTATTGACATGTTTGTCTAGTTTTTTTTCTATTTATCCATTGACCTCCAGGTTATGTAGATATGATATAGTATATTATATGTAAGTAATATGATACAATATATATTTATGTTATATTATATACATAGCAGATACAATCCCTTCCCCTAACACTAACCTAACCCCCCAAACAATAAACACCTCAGGTAGTTTTTTTTATTAGGTGGTATTACTTATTAACAAAAGTCGAAGTAATGTATATAAAAAAAACAAAATTTTTGATTTCAAAATCAATTAAATTTCCTTCTAAAATCTAATTACTGTAAGCTTTCCCCTAATACTAAATGCAAAAGTTAATTTAAAACCTTAATTTAAAAAAACTGTAATTTTCGATTTTAACAAACGGACCCTAAAATAACACCCTTGGGTTACCTAGGTTTTATTATTAGGGGGTGAAACCTACAAATAGTAGCTTATTTTTTTAATTCTTTTATAAAGGGGATCAAATAAAAGTCAAATTGGCCAACCTCAAATTTTGTCAAAATTGGAGACGGACCCTAGTTTTTTTTATTAGGGGTTTAGTAATAGGGGAAAGGGATTACACACATCATTTATTCCTATGGATACCCTCTGGTAAACTAACAGTTTGCTCTTGAAAATGGCCCAGTCGAAATAGTGGATTTACCCAGCTTTCCATAGTTTCTTGTAAACGTTTACCAGGCCGGGTAAATCCCATTAAATTCCATTAAACCACCATAAACCATCATGAAATCACCATTTTCCTATGGTTTTCCTATGGTTTTCCTATGGTCTTCCCATTAAAACCCTAGGGTAAACGCCCACTGAAACGCCCCACCGGTGCCTTGTAGGCCGCGCTCCTGAAACGCCTGAACCTCGAGGAGTTGGCCGACGGCGCATTGGACGCCTCGCTGGGGCTGTGGGTCCGGGGCTCCCGGGATCCAGCTTGCGATGCCGCAGCGGTGGGTGAAACTAGTGGTTAGTATTGGTTAATAAGGGTTAATCATGGTTAATATTGGTTAATAATTTGGTCAATCATGGTTAATTGTGAATAACTGGAATTTTCATGTGGGTGAAACAATGTCATGTTTACCACCTATGACTGGAGGTAACCCTACCACCACCTATAAAAATGGTGACTGGGGGATGGTTTAGGATGCACAACTGGAAAGGTTTTGCGTTGTAAATATGAGACGAATCTGCAACGACTTGCTGGAGATGAGTCAGGCCGTGGGACAAGTTTGTGGGAAGAGCTGGTGAAACCGCTGATGTTGAGGAACTTGGATGTTGGAGTTCAGATAATTTCACTTTTGGATGTTGTTGATTGTTTTTGTACCCAATGTTGACCCTTGCCATGCAATATACACCTTGCAAGGCTCACCCCCTAATTTTGACAGGAAAGTAATTGACAATGGGTGATTTTAGAGCACACTGTTTGCACACACATACAAAAGTGTACATAGCTTGTGACAGGCCAGTCTGGTAAGATAATTCGAGATGTCAAAAAAAGGTATGCAAGTTGAAGCAGCTGCGAGTTACACTTCTTTTAAACATGGGTTGTTGGGTCTTTTTCTGAAAGTGCTCTTGCCAGGAGATGCAAGGCTGAAGATAATTTCTTTCTTTGTTCACGGCTGATGTTCAGCTGAGTATCGTTGGGAAAAAGTGATATGTGTATGTCTGCGTGCATATTTTCATTTGTGTATTACATATATACAGTATATATATATATATATATCAAACTGAATATATATATATATGTATGATATATTTGGAGACTATGTCAAGCTGTCAACCAACTATTTCCATCTATTTACATTTCGGTACATCTATGCCATGCACTGTGTACGGTTTCCATTTACTTTGACCGACCTAATCATACCCTGTTATACCCTGATATATTCAATATATGTTTTACTTGTATATATATATATATATATATTATCATATGTTTTTTTATTTTACATACATATGGACGTAGATGGACGTAGATGTAGTGTTTCTACACATGGTTGTTGATCTTCATCCCCAAGGCTCGCGTCGAGTGGCTTCGCTTAGGCCAATGGCTTGGAGGATGGGTAGGATGTGTATCCAACAATGGGTTTGTCTGAAAATAGTGTACCCCTAAACCCAATGCTGAATGATCATTATATATACCGTATATCCCTATTAAATGGCTATAACTGGAGGTATACCCTGCTTTCGGACAAAACCAAATGATCAAACATGTTTGAAAGGCTCACCTGAGATGAGACAAGCAACCCAAAATCCCGCATGGCGAGAATTGAGATGATCCTTTCTTATGATTATGTTTTTTGATTACTATATGTTTGGTGGATTGTTGACTAACCCAATATCCAGCATCTTCTCTATCAACTAACCAATATACGGAATGAGGTCACTCCTTTCAGATAACAAGTAATCAGTGCAAAGCTCATGGAAATTCTGACCTCCAGCAAGTTGGTTTGACCCTTCCCCCTCATATGAAATAATTGTTAGATAATCCCCAGACGAAATCCTGGTTGGATCCCAGATGTTGGTACTCCCTTGGAGCTGGCCTTCCAGCCGAAGCGATCATGTCCAGCGCTGCTATGGTAATATGGTGCCACAGTGGACCTAAGGTTTTGCTTACCTGATTGGTTTCCAGTTTTTTCCAACCATATTTGGGATGATGATCCCCAATGACTTTACATGGCCAATTTTTGGGTTTCTTCCCGCACCAGACGGGTTTGTCCAGAGGCCAAAAACCCAAACTGGAGAAATACTGGCTGGACACCATCGAGAAGAGCCTGAACGCAGGCAGGTCAAAGAAAAAGGCCCTCAAAACAAATATGTTTTTAGCATTCAGCAGTCAATCTGCGGACTGCACACGGAGGGGTCAACCCTCAAAAGTAGGTTCCAGTAGTAGTTGACGGCAAACAAGTAGTAAACAAGTAAAGCAACATAAAGCAACTATTTTTGGGTTGCCCAAGAACTGTCGAGTGGTTGTTGGTCAAACTTCTAGCCAGCCGACCGCACACAGCACATATACTGTATTCCGGAAAACATGTTTAACATGGACCTTGGGACAGGGTTTGAACATAGCCACATCATTTTTTGGATTTCATTCTATATCATTGTTTGCAATGATGGGCCCTTCATCGTTCAAAATACCCCTCACTAGGATCATTTGCCACTGAAATGGGATAATAAAGCCAATGTAGCACAGGGCAATCACTGTAGAAACCCAAGTTGAATGATTATACTTGTATAGTAAGTCCCCAAAGGAATAGAACTGTATTTCCTGGAAGATATACAGGATGGGTTTCCACATGGTTTCCAGATGTTTCCAGGTTTTCAACTTGTCTATCCTTTTAGGGGTTGCTGTCGGTTGTCGGGCGCCTTCGGATCGGAGATCGCCAGGGATCGTTTCTACGGAACCGGGTCGATCCTTTCAGGACCCAGTGTTGGGAGGCGAAACAACACCGGGCTGGATGGGCATCTATTTGTTTATTTTGTTCAAAAGTTTGATATGTTTTGGGATGTTGTTTGGGATGTTTTGGGATTGTGTGTGTTTTCATTTTTGGGCACGATTCGAAAAAAACCACGATAGCTTCGGTGTTTTGCGGATTCTCTTCCCAGGAGCGGTTGAAGCAGTTGCTGGACAAGCTGCATATGAAGGAATCAGAATTGGTTCCTTGATCACAGCAAAGATTGGGAGGTAAGATCCGCACGGAAACTGGGGATCTTTGACCTGTGTGGGGTAGGTTAGAGAATGATTTTTTGGGGAATTTACTCAGAAAACCATTGGGATTTTACTGAGGACTTGATGTGGATTTTTGAGGATCAAACGCTTGGATTCATTCCAGCCGGGAATTGACCAACAACAAACTGGGAATATTGATGAATATATGGACTTGGCAAGCAAGAAGTGGAGAGTGATTTACCACAGATGCAGCTACAACCAACATAGCAAGATTCCAACTGGTCAGTGCCTCAGCATATTATAGTTCCAACAATTATGGTGGTGTCGAAACATTATTCAACTGTTAAGATTTCTAATCCCATGCCCCTAATATTAAACGACCCTTAAATATTAAATGGTCCCAAATATGTGTAAATCTCTTACTGAAGCAGGGTTTCTGCCGGGTGTTTAAGGACTGAACCGGGGGAAGGGATTATATGTACATGAACTATGATTTATAAACAATCATAAACCCATTAACTGTAGTTGTATTTCCCTATAAACCCTACTAAATCTAAGTGATGATTGGGACCGAATCCCTCACCCTGCCATTCTAGCGCTCAGTCACCGATGAGGCACCACTGCTTCTGGCGCTGGCCCACGGGCACCATGACGACACCAGGTGGCACCAATGGCGGTGGAATGGGGGAGATTTGTTCAGATCCTCTGGATGAACTACAACGACCTCACATCGGGACCGTCGCGACCTCACCAGAGTGTCAGCAAAGGAAAACATCCCCAAAATCGATGACGATCAAATTGTGGTTCTTGCTGGCATTTTACACCTAGCCGACCTACAATTCTTTGATTTGGGAAGTACATGTCGGAACGCTCGTAAACATTCTCTGTTGGTAATTTGGATTCAACACCCGTGTAGTTCTACTATGCCATCAGCACTATCTGCACTTGCCATCACTTGCCCACATTTGTGTACTACTGCAATACTGCAAGGGCTATCATCGTCACAGTGGGTGAGTGATCTTGGTATGATACATTGAACCAAGTGATTCTATACAGATGCCGCTATCTAATAACATCTTTGACTGTTCTCAGGAAGAGTCCCAAACTTTCGCATGGGGAAAAAAACATAAAAAAGAAGGAGCGTGCGCTTTCCCTTGGAAAAGGACACTTGAGCTACACCAGTCTACTGATAAGGCGGGAGGTCGTATTGATTTGTTGTAGATGTGTTTGCCATAGAAACAACAAGCCTACCGATTTGGCGTGAAAAACATGCTTGTTAATGTCCCATTATCTAACTATATAGTAGTATATCTGTATTTCATTGTAAGCAGAAAGAAAGATGCCATGCCACACGTGTGTTGTTCATATCTATCATTTACAACCATATAAACAACTTTGTTTAAACGTATTGACATGTTGATATGTTTCGTTCAACGTTAACACGTCGCAACGGTCGGTTGTTTCATCGTTGCGCTCGTGCAATCCGCAGGTCAGCCCGCTGGGCGAAAGTGGCAGAGAAGTTCTGGTCACAACTGGTGGAGGCGCCTGGTGGGTTGCATAAGATAGAAAAAAAATAAAATGTGGGCAAAACAATGTCATAAACCACCCATTTGGGAATGGTTTATACCACCTATAAAAATGGTGATTTGGGGATGGTTTATTATTGTTTACCCACATTATCACATTTGATCACTATATTTTGGTCGGATTTACCTTTCTATCTCTTTGGATTATTATACCCCGTATGATTACATGAATTAAATGGTTGTTTTGACGTACCAAAAAGAAGGTTGTAAGATGGTGAAGCACCATCCTGAAATAGGGATTGATATAGCCAATGTAACATTGATGACATTGAACACCCCTCATGTGGGCCCCAAAAATGAATGGATCCAATACCAAACCAGGGTTTGACACGAATGAATCGGCCCCGTTGATAGCGAATCACAGCAATGGGATAAATAGGAATATGCACCAGCAAGAATAGACATGGGAATTTGGGTACTCCTATTATTTCACAATTGACTGGAGGTTCAAGGGGGGGTTCCGCACACATCTTGGAATTAAATAAGAACCTTCACCAGCAAAAATAAGGGGGATATAATTGAGGACCAGTTTCGAAAATGGGACTTACTTGTAGCCAAAAATTATCAAAAATTCAGACACTTTAGCCATGACAAGTGGTCGTATCAGCTAATGAATCTGGTTTGTGGGATATTGTGTTGACACGGAAAAACACGTGTCATGATTTGGATTATGATCCCGACCTGACTGAAAGGTTGTTTGAGGTAAGAATCATTTAAAAAAAAAAAATCATGTAGACTCAACCTATTTTGTTGATTATCTATGGTTATCTAACCATGTTGCTTGGCCAATGCCCCCTATTCTGTGAACTTGCAACCAGAATGGATAGGGTGAACTTGAAAATCCACCAGTACAAGGTGTGTGATTGGCAAATGTTACCCTACTGTACCCCAAATAAGCATAGACCCTGCCAAATAGAGAGTTGGAAGATTAGTTTCCACTAGAACTTGGCCACGATCCATTGATATTGCATGTCATTACGCATTCAAACACACCCTGATCCGTACCCCATTATCAACCAATCAATTACTATACCTTCTTCAGACGATCGCATCAAATAAAATGCTGACACCACCAATGCATGTTTGGGAGACTTTAGCGACTGGCTTACATAATATATATAATATGAGAAAAATAATATATATATATATACATACAATATATATAATGTAATATATATATATATATATGTATACTTATGAATATTTGTCTAGAGTCCAACCAGTATTTGCTGTTCTATTGCCATGTAATTGGCATATTGATCCTGGTGATTTGGATTTTGGCATGACAACTCGAGACAAAAGAGTACATTGAGTCCGCGCCACAAGCGTCATATTATCAGACACATTGGCATTGGCATGTCCAGTATCCATCCGTTAGAAAGTCCCCAAACTGGACTAAAGTATTGATTATATCACTCAGGAATTTCCTAAGGGATCCAATTTGGTTGTGAAGGGATGTGTTCTTTGTTGCTGGTGAACCAAATGCGGTTTTGTACCTGGCATGGTCTAAGAATGGGTGATGCTGCATTGCCCATCCAAAGATGAGTCCATACCACGGCTTGTACAAGGTGCCAAAGAAAGAGGAGGAAAAGAAGAAAGGCAGGGGACGCTCAATCATGCTAGATCTTAGATGATCTTTGATGCCCCACGTTGGAATTTCCCAACTGATTGGTGGTGTAGATCCAAACAACTCCCGAAATCGGTGCAGGCTCCCACAGCGAAGCTGAGCTGCGGCTGGCTGCGGTGTCCGCTGTGCTGGAGGCGCCCAGGAGAGTTGTCATCACGGGATGAAATCATCTACTGCAAATACAGGTACAAGGCCCAATGTTCCTGTTTGTTGTCAAAAATTGGGATTTGGATTGGGTACCCCAAGCTTTTTTGTTTTCAATGCTATACTTCAATGCCTTGGATGACTTGGGGTACCGGGTACCTCGATTTTGGGATAGACCCATTTCCCGGGCTGCCCGGGTTGGACTTCCCCAGGTTTCCAAAGATCCCGGCTGGTCAGACCTGACCGCAGCGGAGAAGTTTTGGTGCTGCGAGCGCTGCTGACATGGTGTTCGGATGTGTTGGGTTAGGAGAAAATCAACGAAGAAAATGGGGATAGAAGGTATCACCAAATCGGTTTTGTTTAAAGATAAGGCACCTCAAATCCCAAATCTGCTGATCATTTCCCCGTTCAAAGCGCTGTTTCACGAGAATCCTGGCATCCTCCATTTTTAGATAAACCCATTAATTAAATATATCAGTAATTATTAAATGTAAATGGCAGAACAAGTGGCGGTCAAAGTTCGATGCAAGTTGGATCATGTGGACAAATGGATTGGTGAATGATTAAGTTTGCATCCAGCAACAAGCGTGGATGTTCACACCCAAATATTCGGATAGCACAAAAAAAAGCTGGCTAAAATGTGGGTTAATGGTTGATAAATAGGATGCTGTTAGCAGCCCTAGGGAAGACACATTTAATATCCCAGTCTGTCTGCTGTTGTTTTTAGCGAGCTGATTATTTGGGCTTGGCGATGTTCAATCTTTGGCAAGCCCGTGTCTCCCCCAAGTGGACACTCTTGATTACAATCAAGTCAGCAGGTGCTGAGGAATATGTTCAGCATCTAGGTTGTGACAATCAACAAAACCAAGGTGCATGTTGCACCCACTCTGATTGGCGACAGCCAGGCAACGTCTTCTCTTGGATTTGAAGGTTGGGTAGTGGATGGGGGGAAGACAGTTCTGTCTGAACGGTGCATGCGTACGTTGTTCATTCATGGATAATTATACCCATCTATGTATGTATGTGTACAATTTACCGATTAGAGCATACAAAATAGGGCCCAGACCCAGCTATTCAGTGCAATTTTGACTGAGCAAACTTTGGATATCAGAAATAAAGAACAATACTGCATAAAGACACGGGAAATAAAGAAATCGCATAAGCAACAATATTGAGGAGATTCCAACGTTCTCATTGCTTAAGAACAGCATAGATGGCAGCTGAATCTCCTGTACATGATCCAATTCAATCGCTTTGAAACCCGGTCGCTGTTCAATTGCGTTCACTTCCGCTAGTCTAAGTTACATTTATCGATCTCATGTGGCGTCGCGATAATGATACCGTACTTTTTACCGAGGTGAACATGGCCTTGGAATCCCTTGGATGTGTGAAATCAGGTGTGTGATTTGTTGCACCGATGTGCAACAAAACCCGATTGTTGGTGCCAAGTTTCGCTGAAATTGATCAAGGGACCATGTACCGTCAACAACTCATGAGTTTCTTGAGTGAATGTCCTTTGAGCCAAATCCAGTTAAATTGAATGTCCATGTATCTTGACCCGATCGGATACATTCCCAGGTATCCAAATCATAATCCCCAATCAAGATAGATCCCAAGATATCCATAGTATGATCATCAATATTATATATTACTGTATCATATTTTTTTTAATTATATATTTATTGCACATATATATATATATATATATATATACATACGTATTTACATTTCTTTTTATAATATTGAATTAATCATAGATGAATCCCGGCGTATCCCAAGTGATATCCCATCTTCATTTTACTTCATGGGCGTCGTCAGGCCCCCTCCGTGTCGGAAATGAAGGTGCCAAAGGCTGGATGGTCGAAACCTGGGCGAAGCGGCCGGGGGTAGAGGAATGAGCTGGATCATCAATCAATATTACAATGATAGTCTTTTGATAATCCAAAAAAATGATTTGGATCATGATTAATGGTTAGTAAAACCTATCACTGCTCATATGGAGGAGGTTTTAAGAACCAATTAATAATTATTTTGTAGTAGTAATTTTTATATTTGTGATTATATGATAATATAGTAATATTCATTTGAATGGCAGTAATGGATGCAGAACCTGACTTTTACGAACCCTGAATTTTGACATCATGATGAAATATGATTCAATAACCCATATTTGAATGGGAATTTCAGGATCCTAAAATGGACGTACCTACCATATATAAGGCCTATATAAGGCCTATGTAAGTGAATATCACCACAAAATATGGCCTTATATGGTACAGTACCTCCATTTTAGGATCCTGGAATTCCCATTGAATATTGTTCCAGATAGATCGTCAAATCATTGTATTACTACTGACATTCAGCAAACGTTCTGATTGCTAAGAATAGGCATTAACGGATTGTCAAATTTATTGTAATACCATGTAGTTACTGTACATTCTGAATATGTAGTCTTCTAGTCTGTCCTACTAATTGGTGACTAAATGGACGAGTTATCCGCTGTAGTTATAGCAGGTGATGCATAGGTATCAACATGATCGATAGAATTGGTTGGAAATTCTGTAAATGCTTGTCAAAACCTAGTCAATTCTTCAATGGCTGTTCTCAGTGATTAGTTGGGTACAGGGTTTGTTATTGTTTTTTTTACCACATTTGGTTGCCATCACCCAGGCATTTCCTGGCTGCAGTTCATCAAGCCTCCTCTTTCCTGGCCTGAAGACACCTAGATCTTAGATTGGTAAAACTAGCTGAAGACACCAAACCCATATGCAATTGATGGGAATCAAATATACACAGAGATTGCCCTCAAGGATTTCTAGAAATGGATATTTGACATATCTTTATATATACAGCTCTGTGGCTAAACCAGGACACATGAAACATGTTTGGCCAGGGAGTGTGTTGCTGAAGTTCCCCCATGCGAACGTTTCCACGTTGCTTGTTAGTTCACCATGGACTCCGCCATCACACCAGGCAGGGTCCAAGGAGCTTTACAAGAGCTTTGTCTGAAACCCAGTAAAAGGTTGAGACTTCATGGGTGGTAAATTTGCCATTTATTTTAAATTAACTGTTTGAAATTGTGACTATTTCAGGTTGGGAATGATGGCAGGCAGTTCATGGTGTTTTTTTTCGGTACTGTGTCTCATCACTAGTGACTAGTGACTACTGGTTTCCATAATTGATTGGTGTTCAATTTCTTGGGCATTGTATTTCAAGTTTTGAAACAGTCATCCGCTGATTTACAGGTTATGTCATCCCAGTTGTCGGTTGGTTATTGTACTTTCCCCATCTCCCATGGTTGGCGAAAAACCCATGGAACATCCGGTGGGGGTCCAGGGGGGTTCCTCCCCGCGGCCCAGGTTGAGTTGATAGCGGAGTGGGATGAGGCCAAGAACTGTAAACAAACAATTGGCATTTAGCAAGACAAGAATAGACAGACCTTTTTTTTCACTCAACGTGACATGGGTTGATTTGGATTTGTATCATTGTATCAACATTGCAGACCGTAGAATGATATAATTATAATATATTATAATGCACATTTGTTGGTCATTGTTTGGTGGATCCACATGTTTTTCATTGTGGGGAGACCAGCCAACCTTTCTCTTCCGCCCATTGTAGGCTCCACCAGAATTGCGCATGTCGGGCGGCTGGGGGCACTCAGGTAGCGTCCGACCAGTCCGTGCTAGTCCGTGGGAACGATATGGGCCCTCATGCTATGGCAATAACGGGATTTCGCGGTAAGTTCCTCACTTTCAGAAAAAGGCATTTAGATGAGGGACTTCTTAAGCAAATTCGAGATACCCATCAAAAGTGTGTATATATATATATAATGTATGTATATATATATACACACAACAGTTCATGCTGGACACAACCGCTGCAGTCAATTAGGGTTGCTCACAACTGAACATGATTTCAGTCTTTGGTTATCCTTCATTGTATCTCGATACTTGTTGCTTAAAAAGGATGTTTTAGTCTTAGTTGATAAGTAAATCCGTCTGCGTTGGACTGAAGCCACCCATCTGAGGCACCCAAAGTGGATTCGCCGCTGAGTTCATCGAGCGGGAGGTGGAGGGGTCAGGGACGTCGAGTTCTTTGAACTTATTGGACTTATTGTCTTCTCAAAACAGATTGATGGACTTTGTGGTTGAAATATTATGGCAAGGAAAACCGTTTCTCTATATATATAGTTATATAGTAGCGGTTGAAAGACTATGGCAGCAGCCGGACGCGAATTAGTTTGGTTTATTTGGGTTTACAGGATGAGCCATTCACAACCTGATGATGTAGCTGGTCGCTGTGGGAAGAAACGCCTTCCGAGAGATGGGGCAGCTAGGTAAACATCCCAAGTCCTGTCACCAGAGTACCAGGGTTTCGGTGTGACTTTCCCCATACCCATATGTCCAAAGCCATGTAAGAAAACACGGGGTATGATCATGGTAGTAGCCTGGTATAGACTTAGACACCCACAAGATATGATCTTACACAAAAAAGGGCTCCGATCATATACGTCAATCATTAGTAATGATTATATAATGATTTTAGTATATAGTAATATAGTAACCCAATGATCATTATTGAATATATGTAGTAACCGTTAGTAACCCAATGAGTATTGGAAGATGTGCTATGCAACCTGCCGTCGCAGGCAGCGATGCTTCTCTCCGAGTTGGGCGGATCGGTGACGCCACTCGGCCGGACAAGTCCCCAGCGAAGTCCAAGGATCAAAAAGGGGGTCTCCAGTCTCCAACGAACGCTTCCTTTTTAAATGGTTTTCGAGTGATTAAATGGTTTAAATGGTTTTTCATAGTGTTTAAATGGTTTTCCACTTTGCAATCTTCGGAAGTTTTCGAGTGATTTGAGTAATTGCTTGTATTGTTGTTTTTACGAATTATATGGAAATTGGAGTTCTTCAGTAAAACCACTGGTAAAAGCCGGCTGCAATATGGGTCAAACATATTCAAAAATAAAGTAAATGGTTTCAAAATATCACCCAATTTGGCACACTGTGGCACACAAGCATATGAGAAGGCTCAAGATATCAAGCTAGCTGAGCTAGGTATGAGACAAAACCCCTTCACCCTGGTTTTCACAAAAAAAAATGTTTATGTTCCAAGCCCTGGTGTTTTCTCAGGTGTTGACCCATCCCGCATCTCAATCCGCGTGCTGATCCATAGGCATGCTTCGTGTCAATGTATCTTTGCCGAGCGGATGCAGTAAAACGCTGCTACTCCCACAGCTTTCTACAGCCCAGGACTTGCAAGTTCTCGCCCAGGAATCTTTCGGACGGAAGTTCCTGAAACTTGTGACAGCCCAAAATCGTGCCCTGACCAAACACATGGAATCATTGCAAGCTGCAGGGATCCAAGAAGGAGAGCACCTTACTGCAGTTGTGCAACAACCCAAAGTAGCTTCGACATCAGGAGCCTTTGCAGCTTGGTGTTGTGGAGGTCACAGGATTGTCGCATGGGGTAGTTCAAGCAAGGGAGGTAACAGCTCCGCAATCCAAGGCCAGCTCAGCAACATAGAGCAGGTTCAGGCCACCAAGACGGGGGCAATTTATGGCGCATTTGCCGCCATCTTGGACAATCGATCGGTTGTTACCTTGGGTTCTCAAGACTTTGGTGGTGACAGCTCGGCAGTGCAAGAGCAGCTCAGGAATGTGGAGCAAATTCAAGCCTCATCAAAGGCCTTTGCTGCCATCTTGGACAATGGATCGGTTGTTACCTGGGGTTCTCAAGACTTTGGTGGTGACAGCTCGGCAGCGCAAGAGCAGCTCAGGAATGTGGAGCAAATTCAAGCCTCATCAAAGGCCTTTGCTGCCATCTTGGACAATGGATCGGTTGTTACCTGGGGTGCTCCAGGCTTTGGTGGTGACAGCTTGGCAGTTCAAGTGAAGCTCAGGAATGTGCAGCAAATTCAGGCCTCACCAGGGGCCTTTGCTGCCATCTTGGACAATGGATCGGTTGTTACCTGGGGTGCTCCAGGCTTTGGTGGTGACAGCTTGGCAGTTCAAGTGAAGCTCAGGAATGTGCAGCAAATTCAGGCCTCACCAGGGGCCTTTGCTGCCATCTTGGACAATGGATCGGTTGTTAACTGGGGTGCTCCAGGCTTTGGTGGTGACAGCTTGGCAGTTCAAGTGAAGCTCAGGAATGTGCAGCAAATTCAGGCCTCACCAGGGGCCTTTGCTGCCATCTTGGACAATGGATCGGTTGTTACCTGGGGTTCTCAAGACTTTGGTGGTGACAGCTCGGCAGTGCAAGAGCAGCTCAGGAATGTGCAGCAAATTCAGGCCTCATCAAAGGCCTTTGCTGCCATCTTGGACAATGGATCGGTTATTACCTGGGGTTCTCAAGACTTTGGTGGTGACAGCTCGGCAGTGCAAGAGCAGCTCAGGAATGTGCAGCAAATTCAGGCCTCACCAGGGGCCTTTGCTGCCATCTTGGACAATGGATCGGTTGTTACCTGGGGTTCTCAAGACTTTGGTGGTGACAGCTCGGCAGTGCAAGAGCAGCTCAGGAATGTGCAGCAAATTCAGGCCTCACCAGGGGCCTTTGCTGCCATCTTGGACAATGGATCGGTCGTTACCTGGGGTTCTCAAGACTTTGGTGGTGACAGCTCGGCAGTTCAAGAGCAGCTCAGGAATGTGCAGCAAATTCAGGCCTCATCTGAGGCCTTCGCTGCGATCTTGTACGATGGATCGGTTGTTAGCTGGGGTGCTCGCTGCTCTGGTGGTGACAGCTCAAAAGTGCAAGGTTTGCTCCAGTGTTTATAGTTTTGCAGTACTATGCTGTTCGTGTTTCAATGGCCGGAGGAAATCTTGCTGGAACAAAGCGTTATTTGCAGACCGTCCTTGGTCCTTCCCCATTCTCCACGTTAGGGTGTATACTAATGTTTCGCATCATGTCGCAAATTTGACCATGCGGATGGTCTTACCTTTTTGGGTTTTGGGGTGGGGGGGTTTAGGTTTTACTAATGCTACTCATCATGTCGCAAATTTGAAAAGGCCGATGGTTTTATCCTTTAGGGAACTTTAGGGTTTGGGGTGTGGCAGGGGTTAGGATGTATACTATATAATGTTTCTCATCATGTCGGAAATTTGACACTGCCGATGGTTTTGGGGTCAGGGTGTACTAATGTTTCTCATCATGTCGCAAATTTCGATGGTTTGACCTCTACGGTTTTGGGGTGGGGCAGGGGTTAGGGTTTTCTCAGCTTCCTCATCATGTCGCAAATTTGACACTGCCGATGGTTTTACCTTTGAGGGTTTTCGGGTGGGGTTGGGGTTAGGGTGTACTAATGTTTCTCATCATGTCGCAAATTTCGATGGTTTGATCTTTTATGGTTTTTGGGTGGGGCAAGGGTGTGGCAATGTTTCTCATCATGTCACAAACCTGACAATGCCTTTGGTTGTACCTTTTAGTATTTTGGAGTCGGGGGGGTGTCAGTGTTGCATAAGGTTCTCATCATCTTGTAAACCTGACACAGCCGATGGCTTTACCTTTTTAGGGCTTCGGGGTGGGATGTGTGGGATAACGTCCTTTGGCTCTTGGCACAGGAACTATATGCTAGGCTGTGAGATCTTATCTTGCACTGCACACCAACATCATGCTAGGCGATCAGATCTCTTTTTTAATTAATGGGAATATGGATGACAAGTTATATGCAGAAGCTTCCAATGCATCACGATAATGTGCCTATGAGTTTCAGTGTTGTTTACAAGTAGCTCACAGCAGCAAACTGAATCAATCCTGTTGATAGAATTAAACAGCGACCACACTCTTAAGAACCCTGCATAGCAAAAAGCATCCTAATGATCCTCAAATATGCCATCACAACTGGGAAATATTTACCATGGCCACCATCTATTACAACCTTTCACATATGTGATGTCATGTGTCTTCCCTTGCAAAGAATCATGCATTCATACTACATGTTTCTTGCATGCTTCCGGTCTTGTAGGGAAAGAAGATATCAAGGAATCCAACATGATGAAGATGAAGATGATGATAATGGTGATGATGATGGAGATTATGATGGCGATGGTGATTGATGATGATGGTGATGATGATGATGACGATGATGTAATTATGCATGTTGTTGCTGATGGTGATGATGATCATGATGCTCATGATCATGACGATCATGATGGTCATGCTGATAAAAAGGAAAAGGCGAATAATAAGAATAAGACAAAGAATAAGAAGAATACGAAGAAAAAGAAATTGATGATGTTGATGGTGGTGATGATGCTGATGCTGGTGGTGATGGTGATGATGATGACGATGATGACCACGATGATGATGATGACGATGATGATGATGTTGATGATGATGGTGACGATGATGATGATGATGATAGTGATGGTGATGGTGATGGTGGTGATGATGGTGATGATGATGATGACGACGGTGATGATGATGATGGTGATGATGGTGATGGTGGTGATGATGATGATGACGGTGATGATGATGATGATGATGGTGATGATGATGATGATGACGACGGTGATGATGATGATGATGATGATACGCATGTTGTTGTTGATGGTGACGATGATCAGGGTGCTCATGATCATGAAGATCAGGATGCTCATGATCATGATGATCAGGATGCTTATGATGATGAACAGAAACACCGTCACAAGCGACAGGCAAAAAAACATCACAAGCGACGAGATAAACAGCGTCAGAAGCGAACGCCTCACCCTTGGGAACCCTTGCTTGGTAACCTTGCTTGGGAACATGTTCCTGAAAACCTTGCCTAGAGAATCTTAGAGATCTTTTCTTGGGACCCTTGCTTGCGAACCTGTTCTTGGCAACCTTGCTTGGAAACCTGTTCTTGGAACCCTTGCTTGGCAACCTGTTCTAGGGAACCTTGCTTGCAAGCCTTTCTTGGGAACCTTGCTTGGGAACGTGTTCCTGGGAACCTGTTTCCTGGGAACCTTGCTTTGGGAACCTTGCTTGAGACCTGTTGTTGGAATCCTTTGGGAACCTGTTCCTGGGAGCCTTGCTTGGAGACCTTGCTTGGGAACCCGTTCTTGGGAACCTGTTGAAACCTTGCTTGGAAACCTGTTCTTGGGCCCTTGCTTGGGAACCTTGCTTGGGAACCTTTAGAAACCTGTTCCTGGGAACCTGTTCTTGGGAACCTAAAATTTCTTTGGGAACCTTCCCTGGGAACCTTGCTTTGGGAACCTTGCTTGGGAACCTGTTCCTGGGAACCTGTGAGCTTTGGGGAATCCGGATTTTGGTTGCTCCGACCTGGTCCGAGACCTGTACTATGGCTTAAGACCCCAAGTTTACGCTGGCAAGGAAAAATGCATTTTTATTCCCAAGTCATACACGTGATTACGTGAAGAATAAGGGACTTCCGGACAGGTTTGTTTGGCCAGGTGCCCACTACTATTATTGGATATTTCAGACGGGCAGCTTGCCTTTTTTTTGCATGCTATTTTTCTCATGTTTCAAGTGCTAATGATGTTGGTTGGTTGCTCTACCATGCGTTCAGGGGTTGCGACTCCTGACATTCTTTCCTGCCGGAGTATGTTGACCTTGCTTTGACCCTGCAAGAATCACAGCCTGAAATCATGTGAAACAGAACTTGTGTTTGGTAGTTTAGTGCGAGAATTCTGAGCCAGAAATAAACAATTACAATCCACATCAACCCCTAGTTGCTAGCTAATTATTCATTTGTTTTTGCAGGGGATATACCGCTAGCCACAAAGGCAGACCACTTCAAAATGATAATCCCTCTACATGGGACCCTAAAATGAACAGATCCACCACCGCCTACAAAGCCTTGTGGGGGTGTTTGTTTTGGGGGTGGGGAAGGGGGGACTAACAAATTATCTTGAAATACATCTTGGGATGTTCAGCAAAACAAAATGGAGATTGCAACAGCACTATGCACGCTTTAACCTATTTTGATATCCTCATTTGACATCGCTTGACTACCTGGAATTAGTTGCCTATTGTTTCAGGCTACTTTGACCTAGTAGCGCATTTTGTAGCACTTTGCAATTCTCACACCAAAAAACGGCACTTCATTTTTTACTGCAAAAATAACCATAAAAGTGCCGTAATCCGTAAAGTGCCATAAATACTCGTAGAAATCCTACAGTAGGAACACTTTCCGGTGACCCAAATTCTGGGCACTTTGGAAAGTGCCCAAAACAATGGGAACTAGGCTTTCCAGGTTTGTGTTTGTTTGGGAACTGTCGGGAATCCTTGGGAACCCAAGGCACGATCCAGACCTTGCCGAGGTCAGGCCGCGGCCATGGCTTGGAGCTGAATATCCGGAAATAGCCAGTATAAACAGCATAAACATCAAGACTGGCTGGTTCTAGCTGGAAAAACATACTATGAAAGAATTTAGAAAAGTATTTAGAACGCTAGTTTTTACCAAAACCTCTTGGGATCTAAAACTATGGAAACATGATTTGGTCTTGTCCAAAATGGGGGACACCCGAAATGGAAATGGTTGATTGCAAACATGATATATATATATATATATGTTATATATATAATATATATTTCTTTTGAACGTGGGGTGCACCAGGCTTTAGACAAGCCCATATTGTGCTTCCGTGAATCTCATTTTCGCATTGAACAGTGTATAAAGTTGAATACGTATGTTTTGACATTATTTGGATTCATTGGGTATTTGAATGCTACCCCAATGCGTAAATATAATTATGTAAATATCATATATACTGTTTAAATATACATAATCAATTATATGTGCATAGATAGCGGTAGAATCCCACTGTCTTATGTACAATGTACGGTACCCATCTCAACCCAATGTAAAGCTTAAACATACGGGTTCGACACCTTCATGTCCATGTGGCATGCCCATGACACATGATGTCCATACTGATTGTTTACCTTTCTATCCAAATATTCCCAGGTGATTCAAGTTAGTGACGTATCCAACCCCGCTGGTTGATCAATATAACTGGTCATATTTCCTCATGTTCTTGAAAACACGCGAAGACTGTGTTGCTGGCACACCTTTGTTTGCAGATTGAACTCCAATTTGGGCTGGTGAATTTCTATTTTTTGTTGGTTAAATATGGTCAAATCACGTGGTGAAATGCCCCCTGAGATCCAGGTGGGCCAGAGACAAGTTGGCTTATGATAGGTTATAACATGTTATACCTAGGTCATTTTTTTGGTTATTGGTAACCTATTAGAACCATATAGTTGCTGAGGGATGGCTTGTAAATCAACAAACATCACGGGGGGGGGGGAGCATGGCAGGACGCCTTGCGTCAGCTACTGAAGCACCACTTTTGCCATGGCGAGGTCGTGGGAGGGGACAGATCATTCAGCAAGGTGTATCCAAGATGCTAGTGAATATATATATATACATATATATCCGTTATATATATATGAATATACTAATTAGATGGATCTAAATGAATGAAAGGGTTAGTATAAGCAGTTTAAACTGATTGTTGATTTATGGTGAGTTCACATTTCCTTGAGTGGTGCTCCTTCATGTTGGGGATGATGATCAGTATGGAAATGCACTGATACCGTATGATACCTCAGTTCGGAGTGGTCATCTCAGCTGAGGCTCATCCATATGTTTAGTTCAGCAATTATGTGTCATATATATATGTATATATATATATGTGTATATATATATATATCTATGAATATGTATATATATATATATATGCACAAATTATAGCGAGGACAGCCGAGGCAACGAGGCAGGTTGCAGGAATTAGCGAGGTCAGCCCTTAATTTGCTCATCAGAATTAGCCGACCTCGACGAGGTAGCCTTGCATTGGTTCTGTTGCATGCTTGGGCTTGGCTAGAAAAACTTTTTTGGGGGCCAGAGGCCGGTCAGCAGGCAAGGAAGGAAAAAAACTTTTCAGGCCCCAAAAAGTTTTATTTTCTATCGCCAGAGGCCGGTCAGCAGGCAAGGAAGGAAAAAAAACTTTTCAGGCCCCAAAAAGTTTTATTTTCTATCGCCAGAGGCCGGTCAGCAGGCAAGGAAGGAAAAAAAACTTTTCAGGCCCCAAAAAGTTTTATTTTCTATCGCCAGAGGCCGGTCAGCAGGCAAGGAAGGAAAAAAAACTTTTCAGGCCCCAAAAAGTTTTATTTTCTATCGCCAGAGGCCGGTCAGCAGGCAAGGAAGGAAAAAAAACTTTTCAGGCCCCAAAAAGTTTTATTTTCTATCGCCAGAGGCCGGTCAGCAGGCAAGGAAGGAAAAAAAAAAATCAGGCCCCAAAAAGTTCTATTTTCTATCGCCAGAGGCCAGTCAGCAGGCAAGGAAGGAAAAAAACTTTTCAGGCCCCAAAAAGTTTTATTTTCTATCACCAGAGGCCGGTCAGCAGGCAAGGAAGGAAAAAAATCTTTTCAGGCCCCAAAAAGTTTCATTTTCTATCGCCAGAGGCCCGCTTCGTGGGTTGACGGCTGCAGAAGCAGTAGGATTCAGAGTTGCTCCAGAAGAGCATTGCATCTCTGCGATAATGTCAGAGATGTCACCACCCAAGCGCAAGAAGCGCAAAGACCGATCAGACTCAGACTTAAAAATCCCTGCAAGAGACCGTGGATCGTGGAAAAAACTTTTAGGAAGCTGAAAAGTTTTTTCCTTGGGGTTTGACCCTGGAAAGAAGGCCCACAAGCTACTTTCTTCCTTCGAATTAACGAGGTAAAGCCTTAATTTGCACCTGCAAATTAACGAACGAGGACAGTAATCATGGGGAACAAGTTAAGACACGAGGGAGACGAGGTAAGAATTAAAGTAATTTGGCCAGATATATGTGTATATATATATATATGTATATCTATGAATATGTATAGATATATATATATATATTAATAACTGTTATTGTCAACTGTTTTTATTTTCTATATAATATACATACCAAATTTACAATGCAATTCCAACCCAGTCATGTCATGTATATATGCCATCATTGGGATATATATATATATATATGTATATATATGGAGCGATTACAAACCGATTTTCTCCCAATGGCCCAATACTTACCATGTGTTTTTCCCATGGCTATACTGGGATACCACTCGCCACTGCCCCCATTCCAGGACTCCGATTGGTCAGCACCGGCCAAGCGCAGTTTGGAAGGCATCAGTGAGCAGGCGCAACCCCACGATGCGCAGCCAGTCATGAGTGAGGAATGACCAGATTAAAACCCATTTTTTTGGTGTTATCCTGTTATCCTCTTAAGCTTAAGACATTTGCCATTAAATTACATATTTAACTAATTTCATCTATATCAAATTGTATCAAACTATTTTAGTAAATAAGGAACTGTTTAAATCAAATATTTTCCATATTTAGGATATCCCTGGCTATGTTGCTGTTCACACAGGAAGAGGACCCCGAACGATGGGTAAGTTGGTTTATAACTAGGAGTTGAATTCATGGAGAATATATCTACAGTTTTGAAGTAGGTACCAAACATAGAGATTGAGTTATTAAACCATCACACTTTGGTTTCAACCATCAAGTTTTGGTTTTTAGATGGTTTAAGTGCAGTATCAAAATTAGGGGTTTGTTTATCAGCATTGGGATGTATATGGGGATATGACCATGTCCACATTTGGCAAATGGATATGGGGATCCGATTGGGTTTGAACGGATTATGTATATATCACATGTATGCACTGGCATGTCAATTGAAAATAAACACAGTTGTTTACATATTTATATACACATATGTTTCAAAAATATGGAGATGGTTTTAACTAGCTAAATGATGTAATGATATGTTATGAGTGCATACCAAACTATAGGAGATGGGTCAATACCTATGATGCGAGGTGGGTTGCCAGGGCCAAGTCTCGCTGGATGATCCATTGCTCCCAGGACACGGCGCCGGCGGTTTTAACGGCCCTGGGAGCATCATGGCCATGGCATACGGTGACCGATGTGCAGGTGTGGCGGTGGCTGGGTCATTGGCTACTGGAATTAGTAATCTTAAATGTAGGGATTTAACCAATGACCAACAAGAATGGAGAGATATACATACGTATATATACAATATGTGTATATATATATACATAATAGGGGAAAATCGGATATAATGGGGATGTGTATATATATATACTGTATATATAACCAACAAGATTATGATGTGCGGTTCCTCCAAAAAATGAAGGGAAAACCACATTCCATCCAGTGCTTTATCATCACTTTCCCAATGAAAAGTGCATTTTCTGGGGCATACCACATGTTCAAACACATCCATGTTGGAAGGGCCACTGGCCACCGATCCATATCAGAATGGACTGACTCAAGTACCTGGCAGCGGCCTGGAGGTTTGCCACTCTCAGAAAATTAGCAGCTGACCTGTTGGTTGATGATGGCCTCGTTTCACGATGATACGACATGAAGGAAGTTCATATAATATGTTATCCTGGTTAGATTTGTTTTTGTTTGTTGCAATTGAGTTTTTTGGAAGTCTCAATAGGTTTATACACATTCCATTTAAGAGTGTTTTTTTTAAGTGTTTGGGTGTATATCACCAAGGTGGTCGGAATTTCTCGTTGAGAACCGCTGAAGCTGTCAGGCCACAGCTTTGGGAGCACTTGCAGCTGCTGAGGGATGGGAAGAGGCCATCGCTGAAAGGTTTACCAACAAACATGGGCATAATGTACCAGTGATAGTGACAGTAGCAATGATTATTTAGTACAGTTGGATGATTAGATTTGATCATAATCAAAATCAGATAAGCATGATAATTGAAAATAATCAGACATATTACAAGAAGGGCTCCCCATGGCAAATGGTAAATAGCTCACCATGTTTTCTTCAAAATCATGGGATATCGGAAGTAGATCAGGTTATCCGGTCAGAAGCATGAATCCAAGTGATTTTTTGAGGATAGTTCCATCCCAATTCACAGCCAAAAAGACATCTTGGGAAAGTACCGCTGGATTGAGCAAAATTCTATCGTTGCCCATTTTGTAAATTAGGATTACCCAACAACAATGATACCGTATAGACCCAAGGACGAAACTGATCCGCAACAAAAAATCCAACAATCACCCTGATAATCCGCCCAATGGGTAGATCGGTAATTATAGATGACCCAACTTTGCTATCTAGTATGTACCAATAGTTGCTTGTGTTTAATTGAAACCCAATGGGTTCTGTGTGGTGGAATCAAACCGTGTGCCCAATATCGGCCACCAATTGCCGAAGTAAATGTTAATAAAACAATACATGTAGGAATACACTTTTTCTATATAGTTTCATGATATCATCATTCAGATGTGAAACATATTTCCAACTATGATACGACATCCAACTAATTATGATACAGTACCAGGGCTTACTCCGATCCTATACGCAAGTATGGCAATAGACTAAATTGGATCCCAACCAGATGTATCAAAGATCCAACCTAAAGTAACTCTTTCAGCACATGGTCAACAAACCACTAAGATACTGGTTTGTCCAACAATTTGGGTTTCCCCAAACTTCCGAGTTCCGCATCAAACTGCCATTTTTGGGTATCCTGAGTATCCTTGTAATTTTCCCCATTTTCAGATACACCCATATCAATCTTGATACCACGGGGATACAATTCTGGTCATTGATTTTGGGTGGGTCATTTTGACACACTGGTGATATGCCGTTCATTTCATGCTCAGTCAGTAGTCTCCTATCGTTGCGAATCTGCCCATCGATTTGAAGGGAAAAATCCAGGATGTTTTCACTGGGTGGTGAGTAAATCCAATGATCGCAAATTCTCAAGATTCACAGACCTGATTTTTTCTGCCATGGGATGATTTTCAATGAATCATCTGACTACATTACATAATCTAACGGTGGGAATGAATCTAAGTCCATTTGGGAAATTCATGTTTGGATTCCAAGCTGTCCAATTTCCAGTGAATCCAATCCCCGTTCGCCAGGTCGCATCGAGAGCCGTGCAGGCAGAGTCTCAAGCGATGGAGGACCAACAAAAAAAAAGGAGGGTCAAGACTAAACTTGGGATAATGTTTTCAACGATTCTTAGATTTTTTGCTGCAAATCTAATTAGTCTAAACCCAGATAAAAGGGCTAAAAATATAAATAATATAAAGCCGTGGATTTGGGAAATTATGCACATTTTGACCCCATACTGACTATAGATTCTTAAACATGGGGCGTGTCTATTTTCCAAATGAGGCGAAAGCAGAACGTGGTTCCAAATATTAGGACAAGCGGTACTGTATCTGTGTACATCTAACATTCATTCGTTTACAAACAATTTGGAACACTCAGCCAGATGAGCTGCGCAGATCAACATGAGAACGGAGAAAAGATCCACTATAGTAATGTTTAATAGAACATATGAATATATTACTATGGATATATTATTACTATAGTCATCCACTATATATTGGTCATCATATTACATAATGAACTTTTGGTGCATGATCAATGATTAGTGGCAATTAGATGGCCTGGTGAGTTGTCACCTATGGGAAACTCGGAAACTCCCAAGAGCCAGTGGGTTTGCAAGTGTAAAAATCGACAGTCAAAGGGTGGATGCTTGGGGTCGGTGCCAATAAAGAGTTCGGCTCAACTTTGAAAAAACAGAGTTATGTAAAAAAACACATATATATATAATATATATATATATATATATATACGTATATATGTGCAAAATACAAACATATATAAATATTGTCACCTTCCAAAGTTCAATAGGTTCCATCCCGATATAATAGTGGTTTTGGATATAGATACTTTACCAACATTCCCTGCCTCTTGTTGTTTGGTTGCTTCCTAGAGCTAGCAACTCGATAAAGTAAGCCCAAATATATGCAAATGCGAACAATTAGATGTGCATTTTGTCATGTTCAGAACTTCCCACTTGCCATCTTCTACCATCAACTCACCTGAAAACCCACAATCAATAATCCATATTGTTCAAAAGATGTTCCATAATTTTCATTGAGGAAAGCGGGAATGTTCCACTTGAAGCTGACATTTTTAAATATAAACAAAAACCACACGATTTTCTACTTCCTAACCAATGATGACCCAATCCCATGATGACCCAACCAAATTGGGAGGTGGCTCCTTCCATGGCGGAGCTTCGGCAGTGGCTACATTGGGACGTGATCTTTCAGCTGCCGTCGGGAGACCTCGGCGGAACGAAGCGGTGATTTTTGGTGGAACACAAAAGGTGGAGTTTGAGCATCACAAATAGCTTTGACCCACAAGATTTTATGGATATCTCACACAAACATGGGGGTTAACATACAACATATGGAGGTTGTTGCATCACACAAGAAATTGGTTGGATTCTGTATGGGGTTCGAATATTTGGATGTAACATGAATGCCGAAATTGACTTCAATATGGTTTCGGCATGCTTAGTAAACTCTTACGTTCAACTCCACTACTCATTTGATTTTCATCAGCTAATGCCCCACTTTCCTTACGCAAGCGCCAAGTTGCCTGACAATAGCTTCGTGAATTGACGTCCCACCTAGCGACGGGCTTCTTGTTCAAAGTTGCAATAGACTTAGAATTTGGACATGAATGGGATAGCGGCCTCCAGGAAAGATTCTGTACACGCATTATCCATGTATATCCATGTAGAATCATGTAGATATTGTTAGCGGCTTCATATGCATGCCTCATGCGTGCCGTTTTTCGGTTTATTTTGTGCGTTGTCCTCTTGAGTGTGATGCCAATTTTGGGGAGACACCATGGAAGGTCAAAGGCAGCTTGAAAACAATCAACAACCCAATCAGACACATAGCTTCAGGAGTTATTAAATTGCATGTACATGTATGTATATACATATTATCATATCATACATGTTTTATTTTTGAATATATTATACATATTAATACATATTTTCCGTATTGTACAAAACTTACATAGTAATTCATATTTTACATATTATACATATTAATACATTTTTGAATATACTTTAGATATAATAATTATATATATATAATCTACATTAAAGTCATATCAAAAACTGTATATATATATATATCCTCACTTAACCTCGCCGTAACTTGTCTTGTGGTAGTGTAATCTTGCCCAAGCCATCAGGTCGATGGCCTTAAATCAAGCTTGGCCTTGGATATAACTTGTTTGAATTCCCATCATGTTCGCTAAGAATTAATGCCCCAAAATTTCCCAACGAAGTTAATCTTGGATACTCGTTCCCATCATGAGTTTCCAGATCGCATTGCTGAGAAGCTTCTTGGCATTGAAGGTGACACATCAGTAGTATTTGATCGTTAAGTTGGGCAACTTACTACTGATTTGGCGAAATGTCATTCACTCCATGTGACACTGCCTTTCAACCCAACGCGTGTGAAGGAACAGCATCATTTCCTGGAGACGAAGTCCAACATGACCCCAGTTTGTGTGGGAAAACTTCGCCAGTCTGATGACTATGATTATGATGATGATTGTTAGTAGATGTCAATGTTAGTAGTATTATTCTGATGATTATTACTATTACTATCATTGTATTTCTATGGATTTATTATCTTATATGTATATATATATTTGTATATATGTTGATTTGTTTGCCCCATCTCCAACTTTCAGCACAGCTTCCCCCATTGGCCACATCATGAGGCTGGGACCCTTGCGAGATTTCCTCCAGCGTGCGGCGTCAGAAACTGAGAGGGTGGACGGAGTGGACGGTGGACCACTGCTGGCTTGATGTGGTGCAAACATGCTGAAAACATGAAAAAGCAAACATGGATATGTAACTATGATATGATAAAATACATGTTGGTTCATTGATGATGTTGATTGGTCATTGACCGGGGTTTTAACCACTCTTGTTCCGGAGATTATTGACAATTGACAATCCCATATGGGGAACGCCTTCCAAAGCAGCTATACATGTACAGTTACTGGAAGCGTTGGCTAGGTGGCAACCATTTTCTGAGCCATGAGCCAACGCCTCAAACAGGTATTACATCGTGATGGCGCCCCGAAGAAAGATGATCTAGAAAGTATCATAATGTATTCTTAATGGCAGCTCTGTGGCTCAAGTTCCAAATATTTCCATTATTGTCCATCATTTCAGACACCTTTTCTTCAACCCATCCTGCCATATGTCGCGAGGCCGCGCCTGGGTCTGGGCGTTTTCGAGCTGCCGGGGCTGCGCTTTCTGAAGTTGGACCTCTCCAAAGGCACCTGCGAGGCGAGCGTCTCAAGTGGTTGTTGGTTGTGTTGGATATCCATAGATTATCCATAGGTTGTCCGTATATGTTCAACTGTTCAACACAGGTTGAGAATGGTTGAGATATTATCCATATATTATCCATATACTAGATCTATATCGAACATGATCTGTTCAGTGGTGCATGGAGGGATCGGTTCGGAGCTGGAACTATTCATATTCCACCCAAAAATGGGGAGCCAGTTGGAGCTACTTAGAGTTTCCCAACCACATGATACTGAATCTAGTTGGGATTCTAAGCTAAAATATGTTGAACAGTGGTTCTGACTATAGTAACCAAATCAAAACACTGGTTGATGATCCATATATTATGGGATCGTTTCCCATCAACTGAAGGGGTTCGAATCATCAATCGTGGGGTGTTGATAAATGATGATACATGATGGTTGGTTGATGAGGCTGGTTGACTTTCCAGAACAAAATATAAGCCCCGCAACAGGGGGTTAGCCTCTAGGTGCATTGTTTTTTCTCTGTATGATGTTCTTGAGCCATTGTTGTGGACGAAATATATCATATTCCACTGCAACAACAGGTTTATTTTGCGGATTCAATTAATTATGGTTGAAGCTTCATTTCCATAGGCACCACAGCTGCACATGGTGGTGGTCCAATCTCCGATCCATCTCTATCTGTGTGTGTGTAGGAAAGCGTTGTTTCTGAGCCACATATAATTGGCATATTTCCCAGAGAACCGGGTTATTTCATGGTTGGTGAGTTATGTCCAAACATATTCCATAAGATATGGCATGATATGGCCAATAATAGCTTAGTTATGGATATCACACATATATTATGTTATAGTTTTTTATCATTGTTTTTCCACAAGATATTGCCGTAAAATGTTCCATGCTTGTTATGGCAACTCCATGGAGAGAGATCCACATTTAAAAATTAAAACATTTAAACATATGTCCACCATGTTTACCGTGCTGTTTGTTCCAATCTGTCACCAGGCCTTCGAAGCGGCCTTGCTGTCCATGGAAGCCACCGATGCCGCAGAGGTGCTGTCAGAGCGGTAGCGCTTGGCATGGTGATGGTCACAAACTTAAGAATGCATCCCAGATCGTAAGGTATTAGTTTGTAGGGGTTTGCCCTTCATGACTTTCAGAAATGCCTACCTGATCTCAGAAATGCCTAGGTGATTTGAAAATGACATAGGCAGGCACTCTTGCCACGGCACTCTTGTATAAACTCTTTCCCAAATGTTTTCCATGTTGCAACCTTCAAGCTTAAGGTTCAAGAAAATTCCGCGCGCAGCGCGGAAAAAAAAATCTGTAAGTATTCACGCTACGGTACTATAAGCAAAAACAGTGTTTCATGAAACTTTTCTGTAAGCATTCACGCTGCGGTACTATAAGCAAAAACAGTGTTTCATCAAACTTTTCTGTAAGTATTCATGCTGCGGTACTATAAGCAAAAGCACCATTTCATCAATTTTTTTTGTAAATATTCACATCTGTTTGCTTTCGGTTTCAAAAAGTTTGCAACAGCGTTACATTTTTTCATGCCTTTGGCACTGTCAGCAACTACCAGTTTGCTTCAAAATGTCTCAATCTGTCCCAATATGTCTCAAAATGTCTCAAAATGTCTCAAAATGTCTCAAAATCAACTCAATTTTTCTCAAAACTCATTTTGAGACATTTTGAGACATTTTGAGCAATTTTGAGCAATTTTGAGCAATTTTTTTTTTTTTGGGGCAGGTATGAGACATTTTGAGACATTTTGAGTTGATTTTGAGCAATTTTGAGCAATTTTGAGCGGATTTTTGGGGCAGGTATGAGACATTTTGAGACATTTTGAGTTGATTTTGAGCAATTTTGAGCAATTTTGAGCAATTTTGAGCAATTTTGAGCAATTTTGAGCGATTTTGAGCGATTTTGAGCGGAATTTGTTCGGCCAGCAATTTGTATATTTGAATAGTCCTTTCAATCTACATGTCATTCCTGCACAATTGGAATTCACAAATTATGGAGATTGAAGCTAGGTCGTAACGTTTTTGCCCATTTTATTTTAATATTTGTTTTAGTCTAGACGCAATCCTTAGGCCAATTTTGAGCAAACTTTTCTGGCCAGGCCCATTGCGTTTGAATACTTGTTTTGGTCTATAGCAGGCCATTTTCGAGCAATTGAAAAGATTTTGAGCAATTCTACCCACATACCATCCATATTTTATCCATCTATTATTCTTAATTTAGCGTCCATATAACACATTCAAAATCGATTTGCGATCAACGTGTTATCCATAAGTTATCCATGTTTTATCCATGTATAGTATCCATTCATTGTCCATTTATTATCCGTTTAATCATTGTTTATCCATTTGTTGTCAATTGTTTATTCATGTATTTGGCATTAATCATGCATTGGATTTAGCTATTATCAATCTATCATCCATTAGTTATCCATTTACTACCCATATATCACCACATATTGTCTTGTGCTCGTCCGTTTGTTTGTTATCGATGTACTAGCAATTTATTTTCCATGTATTTTCCATTCTGTCTTGCTGTCATCATTGTTTCATCCATATGCCATACATATATCGTCCAATATTTTTTTTATTGCTTCCATATATTATCAGTTTCCTTCCATAAAGTTTCACATTTCCGTCCAAATGTCCAAATATTATCCATTGTTCAGCCATTATATCCAGCTATTATCCATTTGTCTTTATGCATTATCCATGTACCATCCATGCTTTATCCATATAAGAATACTATCCCTTTTTTACCAATTGTTCATCCATGTGCTATCCATCGGAAATCCCTCCTCCAAGATGTTTAAAGTTGAAAAAAGGCAATGCGAAATCCCTCCTCCAACAAAAGGCCAGCGTCTGGGACCAAAAGCAAGGGCAGCATTTTTCAGTATAGACTCAACATAAGGCCAGTATCTAGGACCAAAAGCAAAGTAGAAAGATAGGCCATACAAAATTCCTTGTCCAATCTGTTTGAAGTAGAAACAGGCAATACGAAATCCATTTAATTTTTTATAAATTGAGTATCCATTTATAATCCGTTCATTTCCTGAGTTTCCATTTATTTCCAGTTTACTCGCCAAATATTTTCCAAATTAAATCAAATATGTAGATATTATCAATTTAGTGTCCACGTATTTTCTTTATATTATCCATTTATCATCCACTCATTTTCCATGTGTTATCAACGTATTTTTTACAACTTATCCGTTTATTATCCATACAGCATCGGAAACGACGTACGGCATGGAAAACAACAAATGCAACAAGACTATGCGCAAAATCCTCCACAAATAAAATAAAGTGCGACGTTGATTATTGAACATGCGTGTATTATTGTAAAAATACATCTACATATATATATATATCTCTCTCTCTCTCAAATATATATATATATACATTTGTGTATATATGTTCCTTTTGCCCATTGCATGCCTACGCAGAATCACACATGTGTGCCAACATGTGTCAAAAAACGAGCCTTCAAAACAAACCTTACAAAACCACAGTCTCCACTGAAACTTTGTTCCCTTAACTAAAGTTTGTTTCTTGCGCAAACAAACCTCAATTACTGAAGAACAAACCTCAATTAAGGAAACACATCGTAATTAAGGTTTGTAAACATAAATGCTAATTAGTTAGTGCCTTTTTCAAAGGATAGGTATGTGTGCACGTCCACACATATTGATTTTTCAATTTCCAGGTCCACAACCGTATGCATGTATACACTCAAGTGTAAACAGGTATGCCAGTAGATATTCAACAATGTTCACGGTTAGATACTGTTGTAAAAGCACGCTTTTATTATATAAAAAACGTTTCATATCTATGTTCTGCTTGTATATTTCATTTCCTGCGTACACATGGTAGCGTTAAAAAAACGTTTTTGTTTACACATGTATTTCTGCTTGCGTACATAAGACATATCATATGTGTAGATATTTTTTGGTGCTGGCCAGTGTTGGCAATGTGACTATATGCTGGCGCAGCGATCAAACATCAAACTTTATACATTACCCAACGAATGAAAAATGTTATTCCCTTGAAAATATCCATTTTTTCTACTTTTGAAGTTGCTGACTTGTTCGTGTTCACATGTTAGGTGGCAGCCTCATGACAATTGACCCAAGTGACAAAGGCTATTCACAACGGCAACAATGACAACACCATATTTCATGTCAGTTCAAGCTTTGAACAAAAACCAATGAAAACACACAAACGCAATACCAAATTTCATTTCAAAGGTTCATTTTTTGGTTTTTGGGTTCAAAGTTGTTCAATGTCACGTTTTCAAACCTGTGAAACACGTTGATGTTATCACGATGCTAGCACGAGTCACTTTTGGCTCAAAATAGCTCAAAAAGTACTTTTTGAGATGCCCAAAAATCCCTACAAATTAATCTCCCCACAAGCTGGTCGCCATTCCGAAGTTTGTGAGATGGAACGATGGTTATGGCTAGGATTGGGGGAATCATCCCAAAATGACAAGAAAAAGGACAGCAAAATGATCTTATGTCATATTTCACGCATGTGTATATATATATATATTTATGTATGCACATACATATAATAGCATAATTTAGCCAGATAACTTGAGAAGATTCAGCAGTAGTCCAGGTGTGTGTTGTTTTTAAAGTGGCTCAAAGGCCATCCATTGCCAGGCCATGTTGGCGTTTTTGCACAGTTCCGGCGGGATGAGACAACATCCATTGGAGGTCCAACCGGAGACGGGCTGGGGTGCTGCTGGTTGTTCTTATGGGGGATATAGACCTTCTATGACTTTCTTGGGGGTTCTATGTGCTGGTCAGATGATTGTGAATTGGTTGCCACAAATGGAATCAGCGTGGTCTTTGTGACTCATTGTGCCACAACTCGCTGTATGTGTAAACAACACCTGTTGATTTTTTGTGGGCGGTCACAGAGCCAGGTAGTCCGTTGGCTTGAGAATTGACTCAACATCTAGTTCAGGGAACCTGTTTTTACATAAGCCCACTCTTGTTCTTGAATAGTCCATACATGTCCATACCGTATTTCCTTAATGGTTAGGGCGGAGAAATGAGTCGTTTGGGACTTGCTCAACCTGCACTGGTCTCAACTTGACACCCAACCGACCAGGCGCTGAAGCCCAGTTATCGCAAGGTGGCTGAGCAGCTAAAAGAGGCCCAGTTAACACGACGCGACGTCCGCCGGCCGTCACCGTGGAGGATGGGAAGTCAGGGAAAATCATCCCCCAAAGTAGTTTAACAGCCATGGAATTGGGATTTAGCTGGGAAACATGTTGATGTTTTGGTTGCCTTTAGGTGTGTCTGAAAATTGGGTATACCTCCAAAATGGCTGCAGTATATGAAAATAGGGAAAATGATGATATTGCCCTATGTCTGTTCGGACAAACTGGTATTTGTTTCAGGGTTGTGAACTACTGTACTATATTGTACATGCCATTTGTGTTGTTTGAGTTTGTGAATAAATTATAATAATGATACCCTCACCTCCTTCGTTGTTGTGTTAAGTACAGGAGGGTCCCGAACAACCAAACACAGACGGAAATAGCAAAGCTGGCAACTGAAAAGAACTGGGTTCATGTGGGATTTCGATTCGAGTGCCCCCAAAATTGGGGTTAACATGGGGTGAAACATGGTGAATCATAATATGGTGGTTTTACGAGCAAGAGACTTTGACTTTGGCCAACAAAGGGCATTTGGGATCCAAATGGTTTGATATTTCATGTATCGGTTGGATGAACCGTCCACAATTCCCAGTCGTGATTTGATGTGAAAACCACCATGCTGGTCGGGTTTTGATGGTCGGGTTTTCATTGGTTGATGCTTAGACATATATCAGACGATTTTGCACGGAGTGCTATCCTGCAAAAAAAGGACTCGTCCAGGGGGGCGATGGAGAAATGAATAGTTAATAACAATTGTTGTAAAAATTGAATTATGGGTACATCTGATTGGATGGTTGAGTACTGGGTCGTTTACTGTATTTCAAGCTGAGGAAACGGAAACAAACATGTTCCAATAGAATACTGCTCAAATATCTAATGTTGCAGTCGAGAATCGAGATGGATTGCAGGTTGACACTAGAAATTCACACTTTGGTCTTCGGAAGCCGCTAACCGGCTGACCAATTTATTGCGACTTCTGGTGACGCCAGCCCTATGCTGAACGGATACCATGGAGGTGACAGATCAATCCTCCTGGACTTAAGCCGCAAGCCCGACCGCGCCAGTGCCGCGCCAGTGCGCCGGCGTCAGAGCCAGGCTGGATGAGCTGTGGCGGTCCGGTACGCATGAGCAGCGCGCTGCAGATCGATATTGCCTCTGCATGTTCAGATCCCGGTGAAAATCTAAACCACCGTTTCAATGAATTTAAAGGGTAAAGTGTGCAGGTTCCCTTTCAAATCACATGTCGGCACGCCCAGTTTGGTGGCGTCGAAGGCAATTTGCAATAGTTGATGTGGGAACTGACATCATCCGGAGTTGAGGCGATGAGAATATATTGTATTGTCATGAATTGACCTCGCAAGTTTCCTCGATTTGGGTATTGGGATCCTACAGCCATGGCCATGGCGCCTCAAAATGACACCAAACTGGAGACTTGAGTGCCAAGAAAGACCACAATTCACAATGGTCCCCGAAAAAGGTACCACATGTGAGGTGGCCAAAGCCATAGGCCATAGCCAAATCATACTATTCAAATTGGCGGACATACCCTTAATGCTAGTGATATACTCCCATTTTTGCTGCTTATGACAGCAACTTCCATCATGAAAATCGTCGCCTGGAGGCGTTCGCCACAGTGGCTGGACACTTGTTGTCCAAGCTTCCAGAGTGCCTTGGCTGCCGCGGTGGGGAAGCCTTTCGGTTACCATCAAAATGGGGGTAATGGAAAAGGATGGGACCGTTGCGCGCCAAAATGCAGTTGGCCAGTTAAACTTAAACATTAATTTTGGGATGTAGGTGTGTTTCGTAAGTCTGTGCATGTGTTTCTGCAACATGAAAGCTCTCATGCTTGGCGTTTTCAGGCAGAGCTGGGTGCACAATGGTGCACACCCCATTGGCTAGGAACGGCTCCTTTTGTTTGCTTGACCTTTAGATGAGTTGCCAGAGGGTCAAACTAGTAAACCCACTTTTAGGATGTTCCTTTGCTAAAACCTCCGTTCTCATCAATCCTTTCCACCTAATATTCAATACCCCTACAAACATCTAGCACCCTGGCTTTAGTCTTGGGTTATCTTGCACTTGTTGGTTTTATGGTCTCGATATTACCCGGTTTGAAAAACAAAGCGCCCCAAGATTCTACACGATTCTCATAGCAAACCTATTTTCATCATGTTTTTGCCATACAATTTGCCATTGATCCTCAACTTTCAGATTCACCCAGGCCATTCCACCTGAACTTGGAGGCCGGCCCGGGTGGTTTGGTGGATCTACAGGGCGAGAGACCCCTGCAACATGCCATTGCTGATGATATGGGTCCAACGTTTTGCCCCAAATGTTGAGGTGGTTAAACATATACTTACAATATCTATATACACATATGTCCTATATATAATAATAATAATATATAATAATAATATATATAATATATATAATATATTTAATATATATATAATATATAATATATCTATATATAATATATATTATAGTGTATATATTATAGTGTATATATATAGTGTATATATATATACAAGCATGGGTTGCTTGATGCGAGAGAATGCTCAAGACCTGGGTCCAGGAGTCCAGGGTCTGAAATCTGAGCCTACCATGGTACTGTAGAACCATTGAGAAATTGAGATCGTTGTTTGGTTGTTGTGGGTGTATCTCAAAACACGGGATTCTCACAAAATCTGGTACTCATCTTCATGGGCTAAATTCAGCCACAGTGAGCCATGTTTGATGAACTGCTGCCCATATAAGTCTGGAAAACTCTTCTCCGGAGATGTCCGGGAAAAAGGAGTGAGAAGTCTCGATTTCGCATCTGAAAAACAACCTAGCAATTGATAAGTATGATGAGACCTCTTAATGTGGCACAACCAACAATTTCCAACAGTAGTTGATTGTATATTCTAAATTTATACAATTACATTCCTATATTATATTTGCATATACTGATATATGCAATTGGTTTGTTTGTCCTAAGCTTAGCCTGATCTTTTGAGGTTTAGGATAATGTATCACCAAGGTGATTTATGAAGGTCTGTGTAAAATCACAATCTCACGGAAGTTGTATATAATGATATACATACATGATATATATTTATATTATATATATATTATACATAGCACCATTTTGATGCCAAGCGTTTTAAACTGACCCTAGCGAGAGCTGGATAAGGATGAACATATACTAAGCGTTAAAACGATCCAACTATACTTTTCAATCATTTGTATGATCACAATCCAAGTACAGTATACTTAATAACCTAGTGGGATAAAGCAGAAAACCCTTATAATTTATGACTCACTTTAATCATGTTCAATCCCTTAGTTTACTAATCAATTTTTCATTCTACTAAGCGAACATGTCCAAACGGACGCAGGTGATCCAGATGATCTTGGAGCCTTTCCAATCCAACGAGACACTTCTGGCCATCTTTGCCCAGGTCGTTGGACCCAGGGGTATGGTTTGAGACTAGTTACTGGAGAATATTTACATCCAATTGGATGGAATGTGACATCTCAATTCCCCAATTCCCCAATTGAGAACTGAATGGTTGGGATCCCCCAGTGGATCCCCAATGATTAGCCTGGATCCTTGCAGGCTGCTGGGCCAGCTGGCGAACATGCAGCATTAATGGCGAATGCCGGGGGGCCCGTTGTTGCATGGACGCGGGCGTTTTGGACTCCGGACGGTCACCAAATCGTTTTTTGGGGTCAATGAGTCAAGTCATTAGACCTTCCACAAAATGACGGAAAATACATGAAGTACAAATAAGTACCATATTTAATCTGATCAATGGAAACGACTACATTCAACAGCTCCCAACAGACAGAGTGGAGAATACAGGAAGCGCGCAGGGATAAGAAATCCTTGACAATTTCCTTTCAACCCATAGCCCATAGCTGATAAACAGAGACCTTGTTCCCCACCCATATGTCCCTTTGGCTGCAATTCCCAGCCCATGGATGCAGTGGTGAAGGAAGTTTTGAAAAAGAACTTGCTGAGAAAGATGGATATGCCAGAATTGGTCCTCCGGCCTGATGCAGAGTCAGCAAGCCTCTTTGGTTTCTCTCTGGGCCGCGGCCGACAGCATGAATTTTGTTTTACGCAAACACTCCCTGGACACGGTGGCCCCGCTCACCTACTATGGCTTTACAACGAGTCCTGCTGGTGACTTCTGGGACGGACCAAAGGTGGACAGTGACCAAAGGTTGTTGGATGACCCCCTTTTGCATCATCTCCCAATTTTCTCAACCACAGGTTGTTTGATATATAATTAATGACCCACAAGAATGACACTCTCGTTGTCAAATGCATCCACTTCCAGGGTGGGAACTTTCCATTGCCAGGATGGATTACTAAAGGGTATCCCGAAATCATTGTATGATAGAGTCAGTCCTCTTGAGACCTCAAGACACGATCATCACAATTCATTACAACCGAAGATGATCGAAGCTTGTTTAAGTGGTTCTCCAGGATAGTGTTTCATATCCAAAGTAAAACAACTTAAATTTCAATGATCTATCTGGTTTTGGATTCAACACAGGCCGGATAGGTTGGTTGGAGTCAAGGTGTCTACTGTCCCATAACCACAAGCCATCTCTTCGTCAAATCAACCTGCTGTTTACCCATCAAGCCATAGTATGTTCACCTGTGGTGATCCCAAAATGAGAACGCCATGCGACATAGCGAAAATCGCCTAGCCATGGTTCAGGCCACCTGATTTGAGGCCCCCCTACAAGGGCTGATGGCGATTGACAAAGTATATCAGTATATTCTATTGTTACAATCCATTGTTATATAATGCTATATATATATACTGTATATGTATGTATATTACATCTATATATATATAGATATAATAGTAAGGTCACAGTTCCGATTGACTCAATGTCGTGTGGCAATACCCCTTGGAGTTGCCCAAATTTTGATGGTGAGATCGCTATACATCGTCTTGAACCTTCGTCCTTCGTGGGCGACATTTGGGAGCTGAGCTGCGTCATGACAGAAGATGAGGAAGAAGGACCAGTGATCTACGTCAACTCGTACATCGATCATTAATATCATGTGTATCATGATATGAAGCTCGACCTCTATGTTTCGATGCAGACTTTCGAGAATGGGAGCGCGATATTCGCTTCATTTGGGAAGATCTGATCGACGGAGTTTCTCTTTTTTTGTCAGTTGTCCAACCTGACCCTCCACATCTGGCCTTTACAGGCACAGTTGCAACGGTCATTGTCCATCAACATCAATTACCAGACAGGGCATTATGTAACATAAATTCATGTACATACATTTTGTTAAGTTTTGTTTTTGTTATATATTTATTTCCACTTACAATCTCTGCCCGAGTTGTGGATCACCAGGTGCCAAGTATTTTGCGGCCCTTGGCCAAGCGCTTGACGGATGCGAAGGCACAGGTGAGTTAAGTGTGTGGTTGGGATGAAGGAACAGGATGAGATGAATGGCCGGTAGATTTTTATTGGCTGTAATGGGTGTACAACGAGGTATACTGTACTATGTGTTCATATATAATGAGGTTCGTATATGATTGCATTTAATGGGAGAAAAAGATGACCTCATGTCAATATGTCCCATTGGTGGTTGCAGGTGTTCAAATCCACCTACTAGCCTTCATTCACAGGATATCGGTGAACTTTGATTTCTTAAATTCAGATACAATTGAATGAAGTATTGTAGTAAAAATAACCAGACAAATTGATAGTCTCTAACTACTGACGTGACAGACAGGGTAGCAGTCGTTGTCCAGGGCCCCCACGATCTAATATGGGGTTTGTCCTAATGTTGGGTATATCCCAAACTTGCCATTCTATTAGTGACGGATTTAGGCTAGCCTATTTTGGCACAAACTCATATTTTGTTGGCTAGATCTACAGTTTGTGATTTGTTCGGTCAAGTTTTGTTCGCCGAATCGCTTTTGCGGTCAAACCAAATCCAGGTTGCTTCGTGGTTATATCATTTTAAATCCAATAATAGTTTCCTTGTGAAATTCCAACTTGTTGCAGGTTTTATCTTAGCTGTTGCTGGTTAAATCCCAATTGTTCCTAATCCAAATTTCTACCGGTTAAGTACTGTATCGAAATTGTGGGTGGTTAAATCCACATGTTTGCTCCCATCGCGGACTTCTCAGCCCTTGGGCTGCGTCTTCGGCGTCGGGAAGGTCTCCAGTTGCAGGGTTTCAGCTCCTGTTGCTTCCTCTGTCATGAAAGCCATTCAGATGACGTGTGGCCGGCTGGATTCCAATGGGACGCTCGGACTGGGGCAATTGGTGAAAGCCGTGATTGGACGCTGGATTTTCCGGATATTTCTTGGTGGTTGTTTGGCTTGGTGAAATATGCAGAGGATTGGATCATATCCATTTATATCCCAGCCCAGCATGGGACTCAACATGAACAGATGATAACAGATGCACCGCTAGAAGGGGGTTACGTTTTTGCTTTTTATCTAGGAAAGAAACTGCTTGACTTATTGACTTATATTTTTTCAGAAGTCCCTCACCAGCCAGAACTGTGGCTCAAGCCAGGCCACTGGGTTCTTACAATTGTATACTAGTAGTTGAATTACAAGATCACCATGATATGTTGCTGGAAATGACGTGAACCCAAGGGCAACTGTCCACACATTCGCGAGCTTTTGGTTGCTGAATTATCACAAGCTCATTTGGAGACAATATTACAGTAGTGCTAATGTTTAATGATTTTTATATGTATATATTCACACGAATTCTCCACAGAGTAACTGTCCCCAGACGTATTGATGTCGGGTGTAATACCCAAGATGACAGGCGACATCACTTCGTTTGTTTTTGGGTGGTTTTCGAGGTCATTAACCAGCCCATCTTTCTGACTGGGTAAGTTTTGAGCCAGAAACTTGGGGGACATGTGTTGCCGCTTTGCTGGGAAACTCTATAACCTGCCCCTCAAAGCATCCTGCAGCTGATTTGCAGCTTCGTTAGCTGAATGCTGTGGGGTTGCTGCAGATGGTGCATGCTGAAGCCTTTTTGGCTTATGAATTCTTTTGAAAAAAAGTGATGAGGTTAGAAGCATCACCTCTGCATTGGACGCATTGGAATCTTCGGGAATGTTCAGCATGCTCCAAGTTGGATAAACGCTGATAGGAATCGTGAAGTGAAAGCAGGCGAGAGTCACCGCAACACCAGGAAATACCAATCCTTCCCGTTTGTTTCGATAAATTAGAGGGAGAAGCTGCACCTGAAGACATTCTTAAAGTGGACGCCACAAGGCTAGGCGGCTAGGCGGGGTGATGCTGGATTGTGAGCATTTGTTTACATGAAAAACAGACATGTTTTGGTACCTGACATTCCTACCAGCAGGATATCCAGCCACAGCACAACGACTCCACCAGCGATGACGGAGACTGGTAGCATGGCACATGGAGCGCCCGACAGCGAGTCCGATGGAGTGCTGCCCTGGCGATGTCTCTCGGCTTGGAGAACTTTGGGGTCCTAAAATGGCGATGTTTAGTAAGGACACCAATCCATAGATATACAATATTATACAATATTATTTGTGGGTGTGCTTGGTTGCTTCATGAGTTATTTTAGTTTCGATTGCTATGGTTTGGGTTAGTTGTGGCAAATGTAACTTATTTCTGGGTAAACCTTGGGTTTGGTGTGGTTTTTCTCGGACATGATCCCCCCGAAATGGTTTGGCGATGGCAAATTTCAATGGCCTGTCATCCCAAAGTCTGTGGCTTGAGGGCCAATCAATGCATTGGTTTCTCCCCGAAGCTTACGAGAAAAAAAAAAAAAAACTCCGAAGCTGTATTTGGGATTATTTGGGTAAACCTTGGACGGATAGTTTGATACTTCATCTCTTGTTGCTATATACTATTGTAAATGAGATATTGTATTTATATATATATATGTATAGCAGACAAGGCATCCAGGATTGTCCATGACATGAACAAGGCTAGTGAACATTTCAAGACTGGAAACCAATGACAACCGGGGCATGACCTGGGTGTCAATAGGATTTGGTATTACGCTAAAATTCATAAAAATTGATACTATCGCAATGGAACCACAACCATTTTGTTATGTTTGAATTAAAGCGGACCATCCCGCCATTTTGGGGTACCCTCCAGTAGTCAAGCTAGAAATATCAAACATGGCATTGGAAAGTCACCCATGTGTGGATGGTCACCTCAACATGCTGAGTTCGCTGAGTTCCAAGGTTTGCCGACGGAGATTGATTCCCCCCCATCTGCATCAAACTGTTTTGCCCTTTTGGGTGTTGACTTGGTTGGTTCTTTTCATGCGAAGTTGTTCCTCTTGGTGAGTTGGTTTCACGGAGAGGCTAGGAAGTCATTCGAAAGTATCTTGAATGACTTGTAAATTACGTGATTTTTAAAGCATATGTTAGCCTACTTTCCCGGTCATTTACTATACTGACTTCAGAGATCTTCATCCAAGTTGGTGGTTTCAGAGCGTCATCCAACTTGGGGAGTTTCCAAGGTCTTGTGGCCGTGCTGATGGTGCTGCTAATAGTAGCACTACGCCGTGGTGCCAAACGAGGCCGTTCGTGCTGGGGAAACTATGACTGGAATTGTGGGAATACATGTGTAAATATATATAATTATATATAGCCTTGTCCATGTCTAACCAGCCCTTTTCCAATATTCAATCGACCCTTCAATATGTATGTATGTGATATAACTATATTATATATAATACACATGAATGTATACAAACCATTCCCATTTGCCCTCAAGGGTAGTTTGAAATTTCATAGACCATGTAAGTCCATCGAGGGAGGATTCGAGTGCATATGAGTGCATATCAGTGATTTGCAATTGGCTCTGCGAAGATACAACAGTTTCATGCACACATGACTTGAGCCAACCCCAGCAAGCGACTGAAGTCCAAATATGGATACATATGGTTGCAAAACAATGTAGTCCGCATATCTCACTTAGCCAATTACATATACATTATACATTAGTGGCCTGTGATGTTACATTTTCCAACAGGACCATCAGCAGGCACATAATCCAGGTACAGGTACTCCAAACATTGACTTGGATAGCCTACCAAAACATAATATATAGGACATGACGGATGAAATAAGCGCACCTTGACTTGTATGAGAGGAGCCTAGTCTGACCAATGCTCCAGTGTACGCTCTGACATGGACTTGTATGCCCACAAATTCAAGGAAGGAACTCTGATCTTCTCCAAAATTGTGGGTCCATATGTGACCGACTGTTCAGGGTTTCAGGTTGTCAATGGAGCGTGGATCCATCAAGGTCATTTGGGACCATTGGGACCCGGGGTGTCCTTTGATTTGGCGCAGACGATTGCATGTTCCATTCACAAAGGACGCAACTGGCATTTCCTGCATGTTTCTGACTTGTTTTTCGCTAGATGGTCGCCCGACTTGCGAGACCTGATGGGCTGGCTGGATGCCAAAAACCGCCCCAACATGGACCATGGACTACAATGCTAGCAGAAGACCTTTTCAAGGAACATGGCTTGGAGGGAATCGTGAGAGGGCCAGAGGCATTTTGCCCAATTTCTTACGCAACTCGGTTGGCTCCAATCAAGAAGACCAACAGTTCTGCCCTGTTGCCAGACTTCAAGACCATGGTGGAGGAGAGCTTCTGCATTGCCTTTTGGATCAGCAGCCGCCAGCGTGCGCCAAAGATGGCTCTTCCAGAACATGCGGAGCTTCATCTAGGAGATAGCCACGGAGGAGATGACAATGCGGAGCGTGGGGACAAGGAAACCTCAATGCGCCCATTTGGTATGGAATCAAACACACCAGTGAAATGGGGTGAAATAATAGCGTAAGAAACGAGCCCATCATGGTGTATGTCCACATGGGGGGTGATGAAACATCACGTGAAATACAATGGAATTGCGGGAGCTTAACTTACAAAAAATAAATAAAGCACGTCTTTGGGAACAGCTGTAGAAGATGATACCAGAGGGCAGAATATCCCCATGCTTTACTGTACTATTGTTTTATTGTTGGTACCGATTTTCCCCGATTAGATTCAACAGCTTTGCGAATTTTAACAGACTCCCAAAGATTCTTTACATACCCATGGTTCACACGCATCGTATTTGGGAAGCCCCATCAGCTTCAGCTGATCTGACTGGCCAGGCTACTTTCAAGGCCTTGAGTCTTCCTCGACGCTGCTGTCGGGGCTGCTCAGAATATGGTGAAATTTCGGAACGGTTGGAACATATTTAACAACTCAAAATTCTATATACATCTCACAAAATATAGAAAACTGTCCCAACAATGTCGAGATAGAAATATAGATTCATGGGTCATGGATTACATGACGTGTTATAACAAACCAGTTGTAAAATTTATCAAGTGTATTATTTGCCCCGTGCAGAGCTGATAAAATGAGCCGGGATTCTTCGGCCCGCGCCATGGACAATTGTAGTTCAAGGAGAAACACTTACAGTGGCTGATGTTATCCCATGTTATACCAATATTTATTGGTTGTTGTTGTTTATTTATATTGCCAGTCATATATTGCCAACAAAAAAGAACACAACATGTAAAAATATTGGATCCTCATCATATATACGATTATATACGTCATCCATCACCCAGAAATATGGTTATTGTTGGGGTGGCGCTAAGGGGTGGCGGCTTGATGCTGTTGACCGCGGTGCTGGCCACTGTGACCTGGAAAAAAAAGATGTGGTGGGATATCGGATGGGGTGGGATGGGATGGATATGAACAATACGATAACATAATATGCACATATATAACATACCACAGAGAACACATGTGTTCAATGTTTTTTCCCACAGAAATCAATGAGCTTCCCAACTTTGGCATTCAAGTATTGGCGATGGGAAGCCAGCCATTTTGAAGAGGTAAATTGTCTAAACAGGATTGATTCTCTGGTTGCAGTGTTGAAGCGGAGTGTGATTCAACCAATTTGATATAGTCAAAAATTGTTGGAACCACAGTTTGTTTGCGATCCAACTGGAGAGATGCTTTGCATAGTTCACCCTCTTACGCTGGGGTTGAGTAGATGTTGAACCCCCAAGGCAAGATTATAGGTTGGGACCCATCTCACATTGGGGATATTACCGCAACACGGAAGAGCGTAGATATTTTTGTATGTCTTGGATCTGTGTTTGGTGGTTCCAAATATTATCAACTTGCCAACTGATTTTCTGGACTCACTGATCCCAGTTGACTCATGAATAACATCCATGGCTTGTCAAGCTGTGAATCCTGTTTCTCCGCTTCCGCCGGGTTTCCACCACTGCAAGGTGAATAGAGTTTTGTACAAAGTGGCTCTGGTGCCTTTGGGCGATTACGTGTTTTTCTTGGCGCAGTTCACCACCTTCGGTGCGCAGCCCTGGATGCCTTAGATGGATGGTGGTTGGTTGCCAGTGGCTGCCAGTGGTATGTTGATATAACAGGTTTTGAAACATGTCAGATTGCATTTCTGGGCCAAAATTGGGTAACCCAATAATTAGATACCAAAATCTGTCGTACGAAAGGGCTTGAATTTTGACCCATACCCATCTGTGATCATCCATGGTGTGGTCAATGGGAATTTCAGGATCCTAAAATGGAGGTATATACTGTCCATATAAGGCCATATTTTGTGGGGATATTCCCTTACACAGGCCTTGTATAGGCCTTATATATGGTAGGTACCTCCAACAAATCGGTTCCTGAGCCATGGCCATTGATGTGGTGGCTGATCCTGTGCCTCTGCAGGCTACGTCTTCGCGTACTGGAGCGCCCTGCTCATCAACCGAAGTCGAGGCGGGTGTCTATCGGAGGTCTGAGGCTTCAACACTTGGGGAAATGGGTATCAAACCAATTGACACGGGGATATGATACAGATATGACTGTACATACATTATACAGCTTTTATAGGCTATAGCATACTGTAATTACTATAACTAAAAATACTAAAATCTGATTAGATGTGGGAAAACCATCGTTTCCCAAGAGAAGTTATCATCAAATGGTGGGGGTTCCAATATTTATGTTAGTTTACTGGAGGGTAACTATATATGATCAATCAAAATAATCAAATATGGGGATGTGCATCATGATATCATGACTGTGCACCAGAATCATCGTCCAGTCCTGGGTGAATCTTGGTTTGGGAGATTAATAGATTACGTTTCAGCCGGTGGCGTACAAGAATAGCATAGTATGTGGGTACCGTATCCAATTTCCAATGCCCGCATTGAATCCGTGAGATTGGATGCCAACGTAACGTACGTATGTCCTGCTAGAAACATTCTTAAGTTTTCTTTCGTGAAACAAAATGGTCACCATGAGCATATGATATCATATGATATCATATGATATCATATGATACAAATCCATGTCCTGCAAAAAGTATACCTTCTAACCGGCATGCAATGCGCTGGGAGCTGTTGGGAGCTCTGGTTGCATCTATGTTTGATATTTTCTCATGGTCAGCCAAGCAATTTCTGAACCAGATGTGAGCCAGTTTCCGAACCACATCATACTGTCAAATTGTCCTCCATGATAATCCTTATTTTCCAGGAAATTGATCTACCCCAAGTATCCCCAAGTATTGCCATTATCGTTGCAGGTTATATCCCCCATCGATGGGCCATCCAGGCATGACTTTCCAGAATAATCAGCCAGGTGCCGTGTCAGATGGTCAGTTGAGATTTGCCAAAGAACGATGGCAGACCTTCGCATCCATCGGCAGCTCTGACAACAAGTGGATGGGCCACGGATCTGGGATTTTTTCGCGTCTAATGGAGGACTTTGGATATGGCAAGCAGTCTGAGGATCTAATGGGAGTGTACCTGCGATCAATTAGCATTCATTAGCATGTTTGATGTTTCAAGACCTAGTCAAACGCACACCCAAATCATGGTCCATATCGGAGGACTGACTTTGTTTCTTTGCGGACCTGCAGTGTGTGTGTGTGTGTGAATCCCTGCGTGATATGTCTGTGGATTTATAGTTTAAAGTTTAAATGTGCGTTTTGGCTGTCCAAGGGCATTCTGTGCCAGCAACTCATTTTGGTGACATTTGTCCAGTTCCGACATGTAGAGCTCCCCAAACAAGATAATGAGAAAGTGTTTCCAAGGACAAACGATCCATGAAAATCCACGGGCAAAAAGGGACCACACTCAGAGTCACCTTGGCTTCTGAGGCGCGTTGGAAGCAGGTTCGGTACTGCTGGGCATGTTGAGCGCCAAAAGTTTGCCAGGCCTGTCGATGGTAAAATTCGGGAGGACGGAGAAACAATGGGTAGATTAATCACGGAGTAGCTGTTGGATGTCTGGTATTCTATACTTATATAGATGAGGTTATAAGCCAACTCATGTATGGGCGACCAAAGACGGGTGTGTATGAAAATTTTGGGGAAAACCTCAAATTCCGCTGGTGAATCATCATGTTCCCTGGCAAAGCTTCCATTTTGGGGGTATATCGGATACCGGTATACCCCACTTTCAGACGCACCCAAAATGTTCCATTTGGTCTGATTCTGTAAATGAAAGTTTAGCAGCTTCCAAAGTCTCACTGCCTTTGGAGACGAAAACTGAGAATCCCCCACTTTTTCTTGTTTACCCTCCGGTAAACTAACATAGATGTGGAAAAACCCACCAATTGTAGACAATTTTCCTATGGAAACAAAGGGTTTTCCACGGTCTTTTGTATTTTTACCCAAGGGTAAATCACATGTTTTGCCCGGGATTCCTCCGGTATTTCTTCACGGTCCTTGGCAGGCGAAATCCTGCCGGTGCTGTCCAAATTATTCCTGGCTGCTTGGGCTGCTTCAGGGATTCACAGCCATTCAACACATCCAAGTGTTGATTGGTGGTGAAACAAATGATGCTGATTTGAAAGGGTTTACAACTACTTGCTGTTAAGCCGGGATTTAGTAGTAGGGATACTAATTTATTCATCAGGGCTGGAGTTAGGGGTTTTAAGCATCAAAAATATGGAGTTGGTTGATGGTAAAAAAGAGGTGGGTTGTACTATTACTATCCTTTATTTATATGTTGGGGAGCACCATGAAAACCAACCACTATTCTAGTTTGGGGATTTTCCAACGGATTTATGATACTGCTTATTTGTTGATTATTTGAGGCAGGTTGTGAGTTGGGAAATTGATATGTTTCCTCCAAAAAAAGGCCAGGTCAAGTGAACAACTTTATATAAGTTTATTTTTCGTTTTTCAAAGTTGATAGTTTTCTGAGTTGACATGGGCCTGGAAAAGTCAACACCAGAAGCGCTGAGAGAAAATTAAATGCGTTGAAGTTGATAAATCCATCATTTATTCTAAACTCACAACAGCCTCACATCACACTCAATTGTAAAAGTGTTTTGGTCTCAAAACAGACTCAACAGAAAAAAACAAACAAACATATTGTTTTGTAATCATGTGCTCCAAACAGGTTCAAATGTCACTCAATCCTCAATTCAAGAACCATAAAACCTTCACTCAAAACTCAAAACATTCTTGATTGATAAAATTCACTCAAATCATTCTCATGTAGTTGTTTTTTTGGTTATTTTTTTGTGTCACTCATTCTGGACTCAAAACAGCCTCAAATGACACTCAATTGCAAGAATGTTTTGACCTCAAAACTGCCTCGACAAATTAAAACTCTCAAACCTGTTTTTTTTCACCAACATGAACAAAAGAAAACCACTCAAAACACACTCGATGTACGTTTTTGTTCAACAATAGGGGTAAATATTTATGTTTTGCAAAAAAGACTAAGCATGTTCAAACTGTACTCGGGTGCATATCGGCAGCCACTCGACGTTTGTGGGCGGCCAATTGACCTCCCCACCCTACCTTGGATCTATGAACCAATCTGCAAATCATGTGGTCCGTGCGCATTTTGACATTCCCTCGAAAATGCATCAATTGAGCCATGAAAACTACCTCCATCCTCTATCGCATAAATTACTTGTTGGTGGGTAGGTATCCAGATAATTGTTGGTTATACCACAATCCCCAATAAACCATGCAGGTTGACAGCATTCTGTTGATTTTTGTTGGACCATGCAGATCAACACCAATCAACAATGATTTCTGGATCGTATCCCCATTCTTGATAGTTTAAAACCTTGAAAACCCTAGGATTGGTTGGTTGGTGGTTTCAAATACGAGCTTTGGTTTTCAACTATAGACCTGGGATCGTGATCCACAATGGCCAATCTGATATTTTTCCGGAGGGTGGCTCAAGCACCAACCAATTGTTGTTTCAGCTGAGGTTTTCCAGATGATTTTCTCGCGGCTGCTGCTGCAGCGGAGCTACTCCCAGAGTCAGCTTTCAGGACTGACTCTTTCAAATGGGTATAGGATGGTATGGGTATTCTCATGTAAATGGAATCATTGGAATCATTCCTGTGGTGATTGATGCCGGCTCCCATATGCATATTCTATGTTATTTTATATATATATAGCTTTGTCTAAGGGGAACAACTTAGAAATTTAGGTGTTGGCTGGCCATTTGTCCCAAGTTTGCTGGTCTGACCGAGTTGCGTCAAAAGAAGAATGTCTAGTATCCATGGCCCAGGACGTGCCCGAGAAATTTCAGGGATGCCATTCCAGCAGAACCAGGTACCCCAAACCTGAGTTCATAGCATAAAACGACCACAGAACTGGATCTGAGGGGGTTGTCCATGCCTGTAGGTTCATTTGTCCATGCCTGTAGGTCTTGGTCTTTGCAGATCATGTTCTGTTTCTTGAAGTAAATAGTAAAAGATAGTAAAAAACATAGAAAGACACAATAAAACAGATGAAGAAAAGAGAGCAAGAGGACTGACATGGACCAACATTAAATGAACACAAATGAGACTTAAATATTTTTTAGGTTGGATTGGGGTGCTTCTTGGGTTGAACATCCTGGTAGGCTTTGCTGCTTCAACTGTGGCTGGGTGCAGAAAAATGAGCCTCCGGGCTGTGGAGAACCACTAGGATATGGTACAGTAGGTGGTTTTGAAGTTTGTGTTTTTACATCCTTATTGAGCAACTTACAAACATTACAAACTGTTGATGGTTGAACAGCTACAGCTACTGGACCCTAGAAGCAAAGAGCGTAGTTAGGGTTTATTGATAATTTTGATACATTTCAATTTTGCATAGTTGCATGGGTCGAAAGTGAAAGCTAGTGCCGTCCACACAACCAGATCAACTTGTGGTCCCTCCATGTTCAATACTCAGCTCATGAACACGGATGCGACGTCCTGTCTCAGGAGTTTGAAAAGATTTCAGAAGACAGCGCGGACATGTTGCAAAAATATGTTTGCGCAGCTTTCACAAGCATGCCTGCTGCCACCATCACTTCCACAATGCGATGTTACATTGCAACCGTGGTGCAACCAAGCCTGGCCGTTGAATGCAGCGCTGCGATGTCCACGAGAGGGTCTTCTCAATGCGGTCAACCGGTCAACCCTTCGTTTAACTGAATCCTTGCTGACATGCTGTTTTTCATTTTCACCTTGCAACTATCCCCCACGATCATTACCTCACCTCCAGGAAGGAACAAGACGGGGATAGCTTGCAACCATCAGCAAGTTTGTTCTATTCACGATGGATGAAGCAGCACCAATAAAATCATGGAAATTGCTGTGTGTTTCCTTATCTTTATGTTTTCCAGACAGGGGTTATATCCCCAATCAAATAGGGAGGATTTTCCAATATTTTCCCATCAGCACCACACAGGATGTGCCCTGTGCGTCCTGGGTGTGATAGCCTCGGCAGGTCGAGATCTGGGAATAATCGATGGGTGGGGCGATGGCAACAAAGGTCTGGGACAAGCCCAACCATTTTTCTTTGGGGGATATCATAGGAATATCATAGGAATGTGGGGGGATATCATAGGAATATCATAGGAATATCATAGGAATATCATAGGAATATCATCATAGGAATATCATAGGAATGTCCTGAATGGTTGGGTATTATTCCATAATTTCCATTCAGGAGTATCATCGTTTAGGGGGATATTATAGATGTACAATTGGAATATCTTAGGACCGGGCATAGAAATGAGGATATCATGGGAATACAGTAGGGATATGATGGGATACAATAGGTGTGGGTGTATATCTAGTCGGAAAATGGGAATGTCATAGGGATAATAGTTGTATATAATATAATATAATGGGATATGATTGATGGGATTCATACCCTTTACTCTATTACAGTATATATATATATATACAGTTGTATGTATTTGTAATCAGTACATCCGGGAGAAAATGTCCATTAGCGAATGGACCCACCTGGGTCCACTACCATGCTTAATGGACTGTGGTTTTGTATCAAGAATTAAGTATTGCTTGACACAAAATAACCAGCGGCTACAAACTCCACCCATTGCAAAAACATCGTGATACGCGCAAATACCCCGTTTCGCCCACACCCTGCTTGTCTTGGGACGGACGATCAATGAGGGTAGTAGGGAATATAAAAGTCCCACCCCCATTAAACTTTTACATGTATTGAATAAACTTCAATATGGGTTTAATTCTCCCACCCCCAATAAACTCTAGATTCACTGAAGATCTTCAATAAGGGTTTAATTCTCCCACCCCCGTTAAACTGTTACATTCATTGAAGATCTTCAATAGGGGTTTAATTCTCCGACCCTCGTTAAGCTTCTACAATCATTGAAAGATCTTCATTGATGATGACGACGACGACAACGACGATGATGATGATGATGATGATGATGTGGAACGAACTCGCACAGGTCCCTATGCTGTGCGTTCTGATGTAGAACATCAAGTTAACCACAATGCTAATATAATATTCAATTTATACAGTACCACCTTTTCAGCTCATACGAAGAAGGCGGGTCAACAGGCGCCGGCGGGTGTTTGGCTGTAGTGATACTGTAAATCACTAATATCATCTAATAAATCATCTAATATCTATCCCTTGGGGGGTTGCGGGATTGCTAATTACCTACACAAATAACAGCTCCCCCTCGCAGTGGCAGCGCCAGGGAGCTCCCTGCGCCTTCGCAGCTTCGGCGCGTCGCCCGCACTGCTCTTCGTGCTCTCCCTGGCGTTGCCGGCGCCGTGGCAGCAACGAGTGTGAT